GGGGGGCAGGGGCCGTGGATGATGGGGGGCAGAGGGCATTTGCAGGGCTGGTGGCCTGGCCCGCGGTCTTGAGGTGGCTCAGAGGTGGGATCTGTGGGGGAGGGGCCGCGGGGCCGGTGGGGTGCGAGGCGGGGGACTGGGGGGGACGGAGCCTGTTGATTCCAAGCTGACGCCAGCGGAGGGGGCGGGGAGGGGGCAGGGAGGGGGAGGCTCGCCGACGTCCCTGACGCGTCCCCGCGGGCAGCAGCGATGGAGCCTGCAGGCTGGGACTTGAGAGGCGCTGGGGGGAGGGGAGCTGCAGGGTGGGGGTGGAATGTCCCGGAGGAGTCTGAGCCCCACAGGGCGCTGCCTGGGCCGGGTGGGGAGGCCCGGGCCGAGGACCCCTGGGCCAGTGCGATCCCCGTGGGGTGCCCACTGACCCAGGCCGCCGTGGGCGACTCCTGGACCGCCTGACCCGGCTCGAACCCGCAGCCTCGCAGGTGGGGCTGCTCCAGCCCCCGGCCCCCGGGGGTGCCGGACGCCCGTCCCTGCCGCCAGCTTCGTGGTGGGCTTTCATGTTTTATGTGTCTCCCTCCCACACCGGGAACAGGCGTGCTCTCTGCCGAAGCCGTGGCTGCCCGGGGCTCTCCTGCGTGTCTGTTCCTGTCCCGGCGAGGCTGGGCGGCCGAGCGGGAGCACCGGCTCCTCGGTACGTCCGCGGAGCCGGGCACGCCCGGCAGGCACGCCCGGCAGGATGGCGGGGACGTCCGGGCTGCATCTCTTTTTTAAAAAACTTTTATCTTAGCCGAAACCGGTGTGGCTCAGTGGATAGAGCGTCGGCCTGCGGACTAAAGGGTCCAGGGTTCGATTCCGGTCAAGGGCGTGCACCTTGGTTGCGGGCACATCCCCGGTGGAGGCAGCTGATCGATGTTTCTCTCTCATCGATGTTTCTCACTCTCTATCCCTCTCCCTTCCTCTCTGTAAAAATCAATAAAATGTAAAAAAAAAAAAAAAAAGAAATACAATAAAAATAAACTACAGTTCACATTTAAAAATAAATAAATAAATAAATAAATAAATAAATAAATAAATAAATAAACAAATAAATAAACAAACGTCCTTTAGAGAGACTGGAAGAGAGAGGGAAATACCAGTGTGAGAGACATACCGATGGGTGCCTCCTGCATGCACCCTGACCAGGGCCTGGGCTGGGGAGGAGCCTGTAACCACGATATGTGCCCTTGACTGGCATCGAACCTGGGACCCTCCGGTCTGCAGGCCGACACTCTGTCCACTGAGCCAGACCAGCCAGGGCCCCACTTCATCACTGAAGCCAGAGTTCCCGTTTCTCAGCTACGGTGGATCTTTTTTTCTTTTTTTTTAAATACATTTTATTGATTTTTTTACAGGGAGATAGAGAGAGGGACAGAGAGTTAGAAACATCGATAAGAGAAACATTGACCAGCTGCCTCCTGCACCCCCCCCACTGGGGATGTGCCTGCAACCGAGGCACATGCCCTTGGCCGGAACCGAACCCGGGACCCTTCAGTCCGCAGACGGACGCTCTGTCCACGGAGCCACACCGGTTTCGGCTGCGAGGGATCTTGATATTGAACCGAACGGCTCCGTTTATGGAGCCGGCCCGGTGAGGTGTCCCTCCTCCTCCCTCACGGCTCAAACCTGTCGCCCGCGCCCCAGGAGCGCCCGGCCAGCGGGTCAGGGCTCCCCATCTGCTCTCTGTTTGCCTTTGGGCGCCGTTCACATGCCACCAGCAGACGCTGCGGCAAACATCGTAAAGGGGTGGAGCGGCCACACGGCCACCGGCAGCTCCCTCTCAGCCCTCGTCCAGGGAGATGGGGGTGACAGGGGGTGACAGGGGGTGACAGGAGGGTGACAGGAGGGTGACAGGGGGTGACATGGGGGGACAGGGAGTGACATGGGGGTGACAGGGAGTGACATGGGTGTGGCAGGAGGTGACAGGGGTGACAGGGGGTGACAGGGAGTGACATGGGTGTGGCAGGGGGTGACAGGGGGTGACAGGGAGTGACATGGGTGTGGCAGGGGGTGACATGGGGGTGACGGGGGGTGACGGGGTGACAGGGAGTGACATGCTGGTGACAGGGTGACAGGGAGTGACATGGGGGTGACGGGGGGTGACGGGGTGACAGGGAGAGACATGCTGGTGACGGGGTGACAGGGAGTGACAGGAGGGTGACAGGGGGTGACATGGGTGTGGCAGGGGGTGACATGGGTGTGGCAGGAGGTGACATGGAGTGACAGGGGGTGACAGGAGGGTGACAGGGGGTGACATGGGGGTGACAGGGGGTGACGGGTGTGGCAGGGAGTGACATAGGGGGTGACGGGGGGTGACGGGGTGACAGGGAGTGACATGGGGGTGACAGGGAGTGACATGGGTGTGGCAGGGAGTGACATGGGGGTGACATGGGTGTGGCAGGGAGTGACATGGGAGTGACATGGGGGTGACGGGGTGACAGGGAGTGACATGCTGGTGACAGGGTGACAGGGAGTGACATGGGGTGCTGGAGGGAATGTGTGACTGAGCCCAAGCCACAGATCCTCTGGACCTCAGGAGAGTCCCTCCACAGCAGAATCTGTTTCCTGAGAGGTGGCCGCATCCAGCTCAGGGCTGGTGACATCAGCGTGATGTCACCCAGGCTGAGGTCATGACCTCTCCACCTGCTCTGCCTCAGGCTCCTCCCCCCGTCGGCCTCCTAGGGGGGCGGCCTGAGGAGGGTTGGGGGGTGGCCCCCGCTCAGGGCGGGCATTCACGGTCCACGCAGGGGACGCCCTGCTCATTTTCTGACCGGCTGTCAGGGCGCCTTCTCATCCTGCTGTTTTTATCTTATTTACTTTTTAATATATTTTTATTGATTTCTCTATATATTTATAGAGAGGGTGGGGGAGGGAAGGAGAGATGGAAACATCCCCGAGGAGAGAGACGCATCCCCTTCACTTCCTGGTGGGGCCAGCCTCGTGGGGGGGGCGAATAGCAGGGGGGACAGGCCCAGGACCTGGGCCCGGCCTGTGCGGAGGGAGGTGGCGGGAGGGACCGCTTCCAGCGTGGCGTGTCAGCAGCTGGGGTCGGGCCCGGCTTCTGGTCGGGGTCGGTCCAGGGTCCGGCTTGGGGTCGGGCCCGGCTTGGGGTCGGGTCCAGGGTCTGGCTTGGGGTCGGGCCTGGCTTGGGGTCGGGCCTGGCTTCGGGGCGGGTCCAGGGTCCGGCTTGGGGTCGGGCCCGGCTTCGGGGTGGGTCCGGTGAAGGCCAGGAGAGGCCTCGCTGTCCGGCGTTCACTGTGAGGTCCGGCCTTCGGGGCTCCAGGCCTTTACGTGTCGACGCCCGACGCTCGGAGCACAGACTCCCTCCTGTAAGCCGTCCGGGAGCCAGGAGCTCGGGACGCCGGGCGGGCCTCACGGGGACCGAGTGTGAAGAAGCTGGGCTCCGTGGCAACGAGGAAGTCTGGCCCAGTGTGTGTGTGTGCGTGTGTGCGTGTGTGTGTGTGTGTGTGTGTGTGTGTGAGAGAGAGAGAGTGTGTGTGTGTGCGTGAGAGAATGTGTGCGTGTGTATGCGTGTGTGTGTGCATGTGTGTGAGAGAGAATGTCTGTGTGTGTATGTGTGTGTGTGAGAGAATGTGTGTGTGTGTATGCGTGTGTGTGTGTGTGTGTGAGAGAGAGAGAGAGAATGTCTGTGTGTGTGTGTGCTGTGAGTGTGTGGATGCGTGTGCGCACGCATGGACACAGCCGTGCAGTCACGTTGAGTGAAATGTTGGTTAAACACGTCCTCACGTGAGAAGTGCCACCGGAGTGGAGTCTCCGGGCGGCACTGCAGGCAGCTGGGTGGCAGGTCCTGTCCGTGTCCGTGTCCAGGGTCCGTCCGTCTGGGCCTCGGGTTCAGGTCGAGCATGCGTGTGGTCGCTGTGGGGGCAGCTTCTGCAGGTGCTCCTTCGGGTCCCTGCCCAAGGCCTGTGCTGGCTCCTGGGGTGCTGGCTCCTGTGGGTGCTGTCTCCTGGGGTGCTGGCTCCTGGGGTGCTGGCTCCTGGGGGTGCTGGCTCCTGGGGTGCTGGCTCCTGGGGTGCTGGCTCCTGGGGGTGCTGGCTCCTGGGGTGCTGGCTCCTGGGGGTGCTGGCTCCTGGGGTGCTGGCTCTCTGGGGTGCTGGCTTCTGGGGTGCTGGCTCTCTGGGTGGGGGCTGGCTCCTGGGGTGCTGGCTCCTGGGGTGCTGGCTCCTGGGGTGCTGGTTCCTGGGGGGGCTGGCTCCTGGGGTGCTGGCTCCTGGGGTGCTGGCTCCTGGGGGTGCTGGCTCCTGGGGTGCTGGCTCCTGGGGGTGCTGGCTTCTGGAGTGCTGGCTCCTGGGGTGCTGGCTCTCTGGGGTGCTGGCTCCTGGGGTGCTGGCTCCTGGGGTGCTGGCTTCTGGGGCAGCTGGCTCTCTGGGGCAGCTGGCTCCTGGAGTGCTGGCTCCTGGGGTGCTGGCTCTCTGGGGTGCTGGCTCCTGGGGGTGCTGGCTCTCTGGGATGCTGGCTCCTGGAGTGCTGGCTCCTGGGGTGCTGGCTCCTGGGGGTGCTGGCTCCTGGGGTGCTGGCTCCTGCGGTGCTGGCTCCTGGGGGGGCTGGCTCTCTGGGGTGCTGGCTCCTGGGGGTGCTGGCTCCTGGGGTGCTGGCTCCTGGGGGTGCTGGCTCCTGGGGGGGCTGGCTCTCTGGGGGGGCTGGCTCTCTGGGGTGCTGGCTCCTGGGGTGCTGGCTCCTGGGGTGCTGGCTCCTGGGATGCTGGCTCCTGGGGGGTGCTGGCTCTCTGGGGTGCTGGCTCCTGGGGTGCTGGCTCCTGGGGGTGCTGGCTCCTGGGGTGCTGGCTCCTGGGATGGCTGGAGAGGCCAGCCCGCTGGGGCCCTTTGCCAACGAGACCTGCTCTCCTGGGACACAGGCCCTCCACTGACCTTGTCGGACGTTCTCTCCTCTTCCTCTCTGCTGCTCCGCCTGCTCTCCGCTGCTCTCCGCTCCTCTCCCCTCTGCAGAGCCGCCCACCAAATACCACATCTCCCAGCCCGCCGTGTACGTGGCCGCGCCCGGGGAGGCGCTGGAGCTGCGCTGTGGGCTGGGCGCCGCCCGGATCAGCTGGACCAAGGACGGGGTGCACGTGGGGCCCAGCAATAGGACGGTGCTTATTGGGGAGTACTTGCAGATAAGGGGCGCCACGCCCCGGGACTCTGGCCTCTACGCCTGCACGGCGGCCAGGACGCAGGACAGCGAGACCGCCTACTTCATGGTCAATGTCACAGGTGAGTGGCCTCGGCCCCACCGTCTCTGCTTCGAGGCGTTTTCTGGGTGAAATTTAAAAGTTTGTATGTTTCTGTCAATGTCAGAGAGGAAGGGAGATGAGAGAGTCACGGATCGCCTCCTGCACGGCCCCCACTGGGGATGGAGCCGCAGCCTGGGCCTGTGCCTGACCGGGAATCGAACCCTGACCTCCTGGTTCCTAGGTCGCGGCTCTCCGCGGCCCAGGCGGCCCAGGGCTCTGGGGAATGTTTTATGGGCCCGTGGCTCGGAGGTGGGACCTGCTGGGGATCCGGGCACAGAGCTTCTGTGGGGCCATTGGCCCGCTTTTGGGGACCAGGGAGGCTGGCCGTTAAAAATGACGGGATGCTCACCCTGTCCGGCGTGTGGTTAGAGTGTGGGCCTGTGGACTGAAGGGTCCTGGGTTTGATCCTGTGCCTTGGTCTGGGCAACCCATCGATGTGTCTCTCTCCCGTCGATGTTTCTCTCTCTGTCTCTCCCCTTCCTTCTCATCTAAAAACCAATGTTCAGCCAAAACCAATATGGCTCAGCGGATAGAGCGTCGGCCTGCGGACTGAGGGGTCCCAGGTTCGATTCTGGTCAAGGGCGTGTACCTTTGTTGCGGGCACGTCCCCAGTAGGGGGTGTGCAGGAGGCAGCTGATCGATGTTTCTCTCTCATCGATGTTTCTAACTCTCTCTCTTCCTTTTTGAAAAACTCAATAAAATATATTAAAAAACAAACAAACAAACAAAAAAACAATGGGAAACCCCCTCGGGGGAGGATTAACAACAAAAGGACTGGCTCTGTGATGCTTGTCTGTGAGAGGGCTCCTGTTTACACAGGGAAGCCTCCTTCCCGTCCCCTCCCGCTCCCCCCTCCCATCCCCACCCCGTCTTGCATGCTTGGCGTTTTGAACGGAATTGAGATCTGGATGCTGGTGTTCTCGGATTCATTCGGTCGGACGGGGAGCATCTCTCCCAGGTGTTTACCTGCAGCCAGGGGCCTGCCCGGCCTCCGGCTCCGTGGCCGTGCTCAGAGCGTTGTGTTCAGAACATTGGGGAGCGGGCGGAGCCTCCGGGAGGCTGCGAGCTTCTGGGCCCAATGCCTTCCCAGAGGGACCCTAGCACCCATGGGTCTGGCCGGGCGGCAGCTGGGCTGAGGGAATCGGAGAATCAGGGCACCATCGGGGGCTCAGACTCCGGTGTCCGGGCCCGGCGCTCTCCCGTGGGCAGCTGGTGCAGGAAACAGGGTCGGGAGCCAGACCGAGTGCCCAGGCTCGGCACAGACACGGCGTGTGTTCTCTCGCAGACGCCATCTCCTCCGGGGACGACGAGGACGACGGAGACGGCTCCGAGGACTTTGTCAGTGAGAACAGCAACAAGCGTAAGTAAGGCCGCCCGGGGCCGCCGCTCCCACCGCCTCCGCCGCTGCTTCTCGACGCCCCCAGCCCTCTCCGCTGTGCCCGCTCTCCCGGCTTCCGGCTGAGAATAAACCTGTGCCTGCACCTCTCACTGTCCGCCTCTTCTTTCCGCCTGAGCCTCTCTCCCCGCCTCCTCTGTCCTGGGCGTCCCACTCCAGAGCCGAGCTGCTCCGCACGGCAGCCCGGCTCTCCGCCACGGTGCGGGCGCTTGGCGGGCCCCGCGGGCCTGTCTGTCCCTCCCCTGGGGCCACGCGGCCACGCGGGTGGTCGCACGGGGAGGGAGGTGCCGTGGCATTTTGTGGGCAGAGGCCACGGGCGCTGTGAAAACACCCTGCGCGGAGGAGGGTGGCCCCATCACGGAGGGCGGTCTGGGCCCGGCCAGGCTGGCTCAGGGGTTGGGCATCAAGCCATGACCCGGGAGGTCTCCGTTCCATTCCCGGCCGGGGCACTGGCCCGGGTGGCAGGCTCATGCCCAGGAGGGAGCGTGCAGGATGTTTCTCTCCCTCCCTTTCCCTTCCTCTGTCAGATCAATAGAAGACAAGAAAAGGGGTGATCTGGGCCAGTGGTCGGCAAACTGCGGCTCTGGAGCCGCAGGCACCTCGGGAGCCGTGGCTTGCCGCTCTGTGGGATAGGGGCTTCGTCACAAGGAACAGCAGCAGCCTGTGGTGACTGGAATCGAGCGTCTAGGTCAGGGGCCGCCAAACTCACGCGTCCACAGCGCGGGAACGCGCGACTCGAGAGCCGCAGTTTGCCCACCACGGGTCTGGGCGGCGCCGAGGCATCTTAACGGCTTCCAGCCCGCCAGGCGCTCCGCAGCCTCAGAAGGTGCCTGGCGCTGCGGGGGAAGGCGGCTGAAGGCCGTGGCTCCGAGCCCGGCTGCTCACGCGCGGGGGGCGGGGCGTGAGCGCGTCCCCGCGACCGGCAGGGGCGGTCCCGGCAGCTGCTGACGAGCCGTGGTGGCCACTAGTGAAGCCTGCGCCGCGGAGAACACCGCTCGCTCCTCCTCGGCGCTCTGGCTCCCGGGGAGGCAGCGAGACGCTGAGGCCGCGGTGAGGTCTGTCCGGCGGGTTCCGTGCCCGCTGCCGGCTCCGTCGGGGCCCCCACGACCTGACGCGGCGGAGAGGAGAGCTTCTCCCGTTTCCCGAACAGAAAAGCTCCGATCAGGAAGCTGGGATTCCGCTGTGGGCCTGCGCCCGTCCGGTCCCAGCTCCGCAGCCGGTGCCGGGGGGGCGGGGCGGGGTGAGCTGGCTGGCCTGCTGGTCCTGGCTCTGAGGCAGTGCCCGCAGGGGGTGTCATGGCTGCTGGTTGGGGGACCTCTGGCTCACCAGCTCGGCTGTCTCGGCGTTGCCCTGGCGGTCAGTGCCGGGCCTGCTCTTAGATCAGTGTGCGGATCCCAGCCTGGGGAAATAACACCGTGTAACAGCAAGCTGGAGGTTACGTAACAAGTGGGCCGGGCGGACGGAATCTCTGGCTCTGACTCAGGGCTGCCGGCCACAGGCCTCTGGGGTTTCTGCTTTTTAAAAAAATCCCCACTGAGGATATTTTCCCATGGATTTTTAGAGAGAGTGGAAGGGAGAGGGAAACGAGAGAAACATCGATGTGTGAGAAGCACATCAGTGGTTGTCTCCCATCTATACCCCGACCAGGGTCTGGGCTGGGGTGGAGCCTGCAACTGAGGTGCATGCCCTTGACCGGAATCAAACCGGGACCTTTTGGTCTGCAGGCCAGCGCTCCATCCACTGGGCCACACCTGTCAGGGCAGACCTCCAGGTTTTGATCCTGAGCCAGCCCTGCTGCCCAGTGCCCAGTGCCCATCCCCCACCCAGTGCCCAGTGCTCAGTGCCCAGTGCCCATCCCCCACCCAGTGCCCAGCGCCCAGTGCTCAGTACTCAGTGCTCAATACCCAGCGCTCAATGCTCAGTACCCAGTGCTCAGTGCCCAGTGCCAATCCTCCACCCAGTGCCCATTGTCCAGTGCTCAGTACCCAGTGCTCAGAGCCCAGTGCTCGGTGCTCAGTGCCCAGTGCTCAGTGCCCAGTGCCCAGTACCCATCGCTCAGTGCTCAGTGCCCAGTCCTCAGTGCCCAGTGCTCAGTACCCAGTGCTCAGTGCCCAGCGCTCAGTGCTCAGTGCCTAGTGCTCAGTGCCCAGTGCTCAGTACCCAGTGCTCAGTGCCCAGTCCTCAGTGCTCAGTGCCCAGTGCCCAGCGCCCAGTGCCGTTAGCATGGACAGGCCGGCGTGTGGCTCCCTCGGGAGAACGCCAGCCGCGCTGAAGGAGCCGCCCGCCTTGGCCCGGCCACGGCTCTGTGTAATTAGCTCTTGAATGACAGCAGCCTGCCCCGACGCGGGCCTGGCGATTAGGGGCGGTGTCAGCTGTCCCGGGAGAGGCGCTGTGAAACGTGAGAGGCGGTTACGCGATAGGGCTCCCGGCGGCCGGCCCCGCCGTCTGTGGGTGTGATTAGGCCGCGCTGATTCCAGGTGCGGAGGCGGCGGGAGGCCCAGCTGTGGCCCCGGGACCCGCAGGGCCGGGGCCGGGGCCGGGGCCGGGGCCGGGGCTGCCGCCGCTGGGACGCCTCTGCCCGCTCCGGTGCCAAACCTGCCGGTGCCAAACCTGCCGGTGACAGGAACACGGTAGATGCACCGAGGTCTCCCTTCTCAGCCCAGGAACCCACGGGTGTCCTGTGACCCTCCGAGCGGCTCCTGGCCGTCGGGAAATGCCAGGGTGTGCGCGCGCGCGCGTGTGTGTGCGCGCGCATGTGTGTGTGTGCGTGTGTGCGCGCGCGTGTGTGTGCGTGTGTGTGTGTGTGTGTGTGTGTGTGTGTGTGCGTGCGCGCGTGTCTGAGGGTTCCTCTCCCGGGAAGTTTGAGAACGGTGCCCCCTGACCCCATGCTGAGGGGGACGGGCCCAGCTTCCTGAAGCTTCTTCTCTTTCCCGGCAGGTGGGTGTCAGGTCTGTCTTGTGGCCTGAAAATGCAGGGTGTCCCCCCAGAAAGTGTGCACAGTCTGAGTAACTGTCAGCTCCGGGGTTAAGTCCGAAGAGGAAGAAACGCCAGTCGAGCCGTCACAACGTACACGTGTTTGCGGGGACAGCCTGTTGCTTGCAGCCTATTTTCCCTCCGCCACTTTGCACCGAGGCTGCCTAACTGATTCTGACGGTTAACTATAAAAAAGGCAGGCTTATCTGCATGGCAGTTCTTCTTAGATCTGGGAAGCATGGTGCAGTGGCAAAACACACAGAAACGAAGGGAGGAAGGCCGAACGTGGGCCCTGGCCCGAGGGGTGTGGGTCCAGCTGATGGGCCTCTGGAGGCCCGATGCCAATATCCCCGTCCGTCGTCCCTTCTCCCTCATCCGCCGGAGCCAGGCCGGTCTCTTGGTTTCCCCCAAGCCCGCCGAGCCGCCCGGTTTTCCCGATCGGGCTCCATTCTTACTTCACGCGTGTTATCGCGTGTCTCGGGCCTGCCTGTCCCCGCAGCCGCCTGCGGAGGGGGGCCGAGCGCCCGCCGGGCACGGAGTGAGTGCGTTGTGGGGTCCCAGGCTTCGCCCACGTCTCTCAGGGGGAGAGGCAGGTCCACGGGCCTTCCGGCCACACGTGGGCTCTGGGTGGGACCTTCCCTCGGAGACCGGCAGAGCCCGCTCCTTCCTCAGGGGGTCCCACGGCTTTGACCACCCACCGGAGTTCACACAGCCTCTGTCGCCGTGGAAACCCCAGGCTGCAGAGCCCCTGCTGATGGGATTGGTCTGGCTTCCCCGCCTTCGGGGCAGGTTCTCCCCGCAGGTGGGAAGGGCGCCCTCGGCCGTGTCTGAGCACAGACTCGCTGGCCACTCAGGTCTCCCCTGCGCTGGGCGTTGGGCGAGCAGAGCCGCCCGTGTCCCGCCGGCAGGAAATGCCGCAGCTCACACGCCGCCGTTTCGGATGCTGGTTTTCCAAGGGCGTCCAGGCGGAGGGCTTAGAGGCTCCCGTGCACGTTAGCCAGGAAGGCATGACGGGGTCCTTGGTCTGGGCTGAGTAAGTAGACACGTATGTGCGTGCTCGGGGGAGTTTCATCACCTCCGTGTGTGTTTCTAAAGACCTGGAGGCTCTGTCCTCGGGGCGAGGCAGCTGCACCCAGATCCCTGACCCCCTGCTCCTCTGTCGCGCGGAGAGAGACCGGGTGGTTCTGTTTGGTTCCGCGCCTGCGGGACCCGTGGCCGACGCCGAGCCCGTGCTGGGGAGCGAGGCCGCGCTGTCGGGAGGGCTTGGCCTAGACCGCGATCCTCCGGCGATGAGTCTGCTGATACGAGGGGCAGCCGCCGCCGCCGCTCCATCGGGACTGCTGCGTGGTCGAGGTCATTGCTGGGCGGACGCTGGCTTCTTCCTTCTGTGTGCGTTTCTAAGAATTGAAACAACAAAACAGCAAAACAAAACCGCATTCCACAGGCGCCCTGAGCGCCTCACAGTTCTCCTGTGGAATGAACGCTCCCCATTCTCCTGCGACCAATCCTACTGCCTCCCCTGGCCCCTCTGGGCACACAGCCTCGCCAGCAACTGCAGGGTTTTCTTTTTATTTTTTAAAAAATATATTTTTACTGATGTCAGAGAGGAAGGGAGAAGGAGAGAGACAGAAACATCAATGGTGAGAGAGAATCACGGATCAGCTGCCTCCTGCACCCCCCGCACTGGGGATGGAGCCTCAACCCGGGCCTGTGCCCCGACCTCCTGGTTCATGGGTGAATGCTCAGTGGGCACGGGGGTTCTTCATGGGTGAATGCTCAGTGGGCACGGGGGTTCTTCATGGGTGAATGCTCAGTGCGCACGGGGGTTCTTCTGAAGGCAGATCCTGGGAGCTCCCACGGGGCAGCTGGTCGACCTCCCCGTTCGACTCTGGTGTTCACGTGTGGGTAACTTGCCTAATGTTTTTCTTATTGACGGTCTCACTGGTCAGCAAGTTCATTGTTTTAATGAGATTTCTCAGCTGAAGCCCCCCTCCCCCATACATACACCCTCACTCCCATCTCCACGTTTTGTAGATTATTTCTCTTAGTTCATAAAAGACGGAGAACAGAAGATGGAGGGGCAGGGCCTCCGGGCAGGCCTCCCCCCCTCCCCCCTCCGGGCCCAGAGCGTTCAGATGGCCCGATTAGTGGTATTTTAAAGGCCTGATTACAGACTTAGGCACGGGCCTTAGTGGAGCTTTAGGGAGCTGGGAGACTTAATCTAGGAGCTGAAACAGGCTGTGTTTTTTTCTTTTTTAGTTTTGCATCAATAAACACACAGTTGGCAGCCCTCAGTGTCCACAGCTCACGTAAATGGTGAACTTCTGACTTAGTTACCATGGCAGAGGTCAGAGGGCAGCTGGGGAGGAGAGGGCGCTGCTGGGGGAGCTGGGGCCTCGGGCAGCCCCGCCGGCCTCTCGCCCGGTGACCTTGATCAAATAACTGCCTGGTGACGCGGTCCCGGCCGCCGCTGGGCCCGAGGGCCCCCGAGGTCGCCTTTGGGCTGCTGGTAACACAACGCCATGCTTCCCTGCGAGCTGGAGCTGCGCCTCTCTCTGGTCTCGGGAGGAGACCGTGAACCGTAGACGGGCTGTTGGGGCTCGTGCGGTTGGTAGGCAGGCGCAGCAGCCCCCGTCTTCCGTCACGCTTAAACCTCAGGGTCAGAGAAAGTGGACGGAGTCTGTCTGCTGGGAGGGAGAGCCCAGGAAGGAAGGGTCGAGCTGGAGGGACTCGGAGGGGCAGCTGCACAGGACGTTGGCCCCGTCGCCTCCGGTTGAGCTAACCGCTCGACCTGGAGGTGGAACTGTGTCTCTCTCATCGATGTTTCTCTCTGTCTCCCTCTCCCTGCACTCTCTCTAACACCCACGGGAAAGCATCCCGGGGAGGGCTAACCAAAACGTAAAAGACAACGCCCAGCAGGCCATCCCCGGACTCAGCCCGGAAACACGCGGGGCCAGGCTAAGGCCGCCTCCCCCGGCTCTGCTGGCCGCGGCCGCGGCCGCGCCCGCCCACGCTGTCCGTTGTCCCGCACAGGAGCGCCCTACTGGACCAGCACCGAGAAGATGGAGAAGCGGCTGCACGCGGTGCCCGCCGCCAACACCGTCAAGTTCCGCTGCCCGGCCGGCGGGAACCCCACGCCCACAATGCGCTGGCTGAAGAACGGGAAGGAGTTCCGCCAGGAGCACCGCATCGGGGGCTATAAGGTACGCCGCGCGGGTCTGTCCTCATCGGGGCTATAAGGTACGCAGGCCGGATCTGTCCCTCATCGGGGATATAAGGTACGCCGCGCGGGTCTGTCCTCATCGGGGCTATAAGGTACACCGCGCGGGTCTGTCCTCATCGGGGATATAAGGTACGCAGGCCGCGCGGGTCTGTCCTCATCGGGGCTATAAGGTACGCCGCGCGGGTCTGTCCTCATCGGGGCTATAAGGTACACCGCGCGGGTCTGTCCTCATCGGGGATATAAGGTACGCCACGGGGGTCTGTCCTCATCGGGGCTATAAGGTACGCCGCGCGGGTCTGTCCTCATCGGGGCTATAAGGTACACCGGCCGGGTCTGTCCTCATCGGGGCTATAAGGTACACCGCGGGGGTCTGTCCTCATCGGGGCTATAAGGTACGCCGGTCGGGTCTGTCCTCATCGGGGCTATAAGGTACGCCGGTCGGGTCTGTCCTCATCGGGGCTATAAGGTACACCGCGGGGGTCTGTCCTCATCGGGGCTATAAGGTACGCCGGTCGGGTCTGTCCTCATCGGGGCTATAAGGTACGCCGGTCGGGTCTGTCCTCATCGGGGCTATAAGGTACGCAGGCCGCGCGGGTCTGTCCTCATCGGGGCTATAAGGTACACCGCGCGGGTCTGTCCTCATCGGGGATATAAGGTACGCCACGGGGGTCTGTCCTCATCGGGGCTATAAGGTACACCGGCCGGGTCTGTCCTCATCGGGGCTATAAGGTACACTGCGGGGGTCTGTCCTCATCGGGGCTATAAGGTACGCCGGTCGGGTCTGTCCTCATCGGGGCTATAAGGTACACCGCGGGGGTCTGTCCTCATCGGGGCTATAAGGTACGCTGGTCGGGTCTGTCCTCATCGGGGCTATAAGGTACGCCGGCCGGGTCTGTCCTCATCGGGGCTATAAGGTACGCCGCGCGGGTCTGTCCTCATCGGGGCTATAAGGTACGCTGGTCGGGTCTGTCCTCATCGGGGATATAAGGTACGCCGGCCGGGTCTGTCCTCATCGGGGCTATAAGGTACGCCGGTCGGGTCTGTCCTCATCGGGGCTATAAGGTACACCGCGGGGGTCTGTCCTCATCGGGGCTATAAGGTACGCTGGTCGGGTCTGTCCTCATCGGGGCTATAAGGTACGCCGGCCGGGTCTGTCCTCATCGGGGCTATAAGGTACGCCGCGCGGGTCTGTCCTCATCGGGGCTATAAGGTACGCTGGTCGGGTCTGTCCTCATCGGGGATATAAGGTACGCAGGCCACGCGGGTCTGTCCTCATCAGGGCTATAAGGTACGCCGGCCGGGTCTGTCCTCATCGGGGCTATAAGGTACGCCGCGCGGGTCTGTCCTCATCGGGGCTATAAGGTACGCTGGTCGGGTCTGTCCTCATCGGGGATATAAGGTACGCAGGCCACGCGGGTCTGTCCTCATCGGGGATATAAGGTACACCGGCCGGGTCTGTCCTCATCGGGGGCTATAAGGTACGCCGCGCGGGTCTGTCCTCATCGGGGCTATAAGGTACGCAGGCCGGGTCTGTCCTCATTGGGGATATAAGGTACGCAGGCCACGCGGGTCTGTCCTCATCGGGGCTATAAGGTACGCAGGCTGGATCTGTCCCTCATCGGGGGTATAAGGTACACAGGCCGGGTCTGTCCTCATCGGGGCTATAAGGTACGCCGGCCGGGTCTGTCCTCATCGGGGATATAAGGTACGCAGGCCACGCGGGTCTGTCCTCATCGGGGCTATAAGGTACGCAGGCCGGGTCTGTCCTCATCGGGGCTATAAGGTATGCCGGCCGGGTCTGTCCTCATCGGGGATATAAGGTACGCAGGCCACGCGGGTCTGTCCTCATCGGGGCTATAAGGTACGCAGGCTGGATCTGTCCCTCATCGGGGGTATAAGGTACACAGGCCGGGTCTGTCCTCATCGGGGCTATAAGGTACGCCGGCCGGGTCTGTCCTCATCGGGGATATAAGGTACGCAGGCCACGCGGGTCTGTCCTCATCGGGGCTATAAGGTACGCAGGCCGGGTCTGTCCTCATCGGGGCTATAAGGTATGCCGGCCGGGTCTGTCCTCATCGGGGCTATAAGGTACACCGCGCTGGGTCTGCTTGTTCATTTCCGAGGTGCCGGGAGCTCCCAGCCTGGCCGTGACCGTGCCTGCTGCGGAAGCACACGTGTGTGAGCCCGGCCACGCGTGCATGCTGAAGCACAGCCCCCTGGCCCGGTGCTGCACGGGACGTGGTTTAAGAGCAGACGGGCCGGAAGTGGAGTCTGTTCTCTATGCGCTTTGTGGTCTATAAACTGACAGCACTCACCTCAGCGCCTGAGGGCAGCTGCTGGGCTGAGCCGGGCGGCGTGAGCCTGGACGGGCCCGGCGGACTGTCCCTCGGGAGAGGAGGCTGCCCGCCCTCCGTCCTCCATCCGAGAGGGCTCTGAGTCACGCCCCGCCTGTGCCTGAGTCCTGCCCCACGCTCCCCGGTGCGGCGGACAGCCATCCCTGGAGGTGCCTGTGGAGCCCACCAGGCCTCGGTCCCTCCGTCCAGCACGTGAGGCGCCGGGGAAAGCCCGGGCCCCGCTCACGGGGTCCCCTGCTCAGAGGTGGGCGTGGCCCTGCAGGGAAGCCGGTGTCGGTCGGTCTTGGGGAGACTGGGGTGGGGAGACGGGAGGATCCGGGCTGAGTTTGGGGGAGGGTACCTCAGAGTGAGCGGTGCAGGCTCTCCACGTTATTCCGTGCGGAGAAGGAGGGCTTTAAACGTATGGCCCGGCCGGTGTGGCTCGGGGTTGAGCATCAGCCTAGGAACCTGGAGGTCAGAGTTCGATTCCCGTCGGGGCACCAGGGCTGGGGATGATTCTTGCCCGGCTGGGCCTCCTCCCGGGAGCCGAGGCTGTGGCTGCGGAGTGAGTGGCCTGGAGTCACCCGTCGGAGGCACAGGCCGTCGGCCTGGGTCCCGAGAGGGCGTGGCCGCAGTGGAGTGGGACGTTTGGCGCGGGGAGCGGGAGGCAGGCCTCCCGGAGCCCCGAGGCTGCTGGGATTGCAGGGGGAGACAGAGACCGCCCGTCTCGGGGCCACGTGGTCCCCGAGGGTGTGAGCTCTGCACTGGCAGGCCCCCCGGGCGGCGAGCCGGGACCTCCCGAGGTCACACAAACGTCTGCTGCTCCAAAACCAGGAGGTCAGGGGTCGACGTGAACACGGGCCCCGCCAGCCCGGCCCCCGACCTAGAGTGCAATCTCGAAGCGGCAGCGGCCATTTTCACCTGGACCGCCTCCTCCACAGGCGGACGTTTCATGGACGCCGAACAGTTAGCGCGCTTTAAGGCAGGAGGGCCAGCGGGCGCCAGCGGCGCAGAACAGGCTGCCTCCGCCCCAGCTCCCTCCGGGCCCGGCAAGGCCTGGAGGGCAAGGGCGTCGCCGTGGCTCAGGCCACCCCCCCCCCGCCCCCCGCGGGGAACGGAGAGGCCACGGGCGCGCCTCCGGGGAAAAGGCCATGTAAACACCATCTTCTTCTTCTTAAGATTTTTTCCCGGGTTTTCAGAGCGAGAGGAAGGCAGAGGGGCAGAGAGAGACACCCATCGGCGCTCCCACACACTCTCCAGCGGGGCCCGCGCCCGGGGCCTGGGCCTGAGCCCTCACTAGGCATCGGCCACTGAGTCACACCCCCTGGGCAGGCGTGGGATTTTCAAAGTTAAATTCAAAAGGCAGCGGGCGCCCTGCTGGCTCTGTGCCCAGCTCCTCGCTGAGCGTCTGCAGGGCACGGCCTTCACGCCCACGCCCACGCCCACGCCCTGGAGAACAGGGCGGGCGCGGAGAGGCGGGAAGCTCCCGCGTCTGGGAGCGGACTGGCCCAGCCCTGCTCCTGGGGCACCTCCCGCAAAGCAAACGTCTTGGTGATTACGGTTAAACAGGCGGTGGCTCCCATCTGCAGCCCCAAGCGCCCCGCCCGTGACACGTGTCGCCCGCTTACGCACGCACGTCCAGAGGGTGGCCTGGCCCCCGGGCGTGGCTCGGACCCTGAGGTGTCTTGCTCCCTTACTACGCTGGGTCTGTGTTGAGCTCAGTGTGGGGGCGCCTTGTGATGGTGAGGTTGGGGGGCTGTCCCCCGTGCCTCGCCGATGGGGAGGGAGGCGGGCGTGTTGCTGGCACAGTGGCCGGGCGCGGAGCCCGCGTGCCTCCCGGCTCCTGCGTGTTTGCTGCTGCTTATCGCACACCTGGCTGTTTGGAAACGTCTGCGCCACTTTGCCACGGGGAAGCCACACTTTGACCTTTCGCCTGTGTGTTTTGGCGTCATCCTCCTCAGCTAAGCCCACATTCCCAGCTGTCCCCTGGAGGTAGCTGGGGAGGGGGTGACGGGCACCCCGGGGGATCCAGGTGACGAGGATCCGGGGAAACCTGTCTGAGCCGCCTTTTGTCTCCGTGGTGACGGGTGTGGGGTGCGGGCAGAATCAGGCTTTTGTCCCACCGGGCGAGGGTTCGGGCCACGCGCTCCTGTCCGCGTTGTTCGGCCCCGAAGTGTTGGTCTGGAAAGCCTGGGACTGGCCAGGCTCTGCAGCTCGTCCCCATTCTTGTTTGCGGCTCTTTCTCCCCGTGATTGCTTCGTGCGCTGATCTGTCTAATCCTGGCTCATCAGCGGTGAAAAACAGCCTCGTTATTGCTCTCCTTTGCATGTCCCGCGTGTTAATGAGCTCAGCGGCTTTTCACGGCTCCTCGGTCTGCATCCCCTCCTCCCTGCTCGGGGCCGGTGTGCCCGCCTTTGCGCCGACGGCAGGGAAGCCAGAGCGGGGGATTCAGACAGACACGTGGTGAGGAGCGTACCCTTTTGTGGGAATGGTGGCTCGCACGCAATTGTGGTGTGGAAACAGAATGTTAAAAGACAGCGCCACCCTGGCCGGTATGGCCCAGTGGATAGTGTCGGCCTGCAGACGGAAGGGTCCCGGGTTGGATTCCGGTCAAGTTCAAGTACGTTGGGTGAGGCTCCGTCCCTGGCCTGGGTCTGGGTGCGTGCAGGAGGCAGCCAACCGGTCAATGTTTCTGTCTCGTCTCCATGAGCTTTCTCTAAAGAGCAGAGAAAAAGATCCTTGAGTGAGATTCACAACGATGAGTAAACCCCAAGCCCCACAGAACACTCCCCATGGCTGAGTCCTCCGCTCCCCACCTTCAGGGAGTCACTGCTCGTAGCTCCCCATGAAGCCACGACTGTTGGGGGGCCCATCCAGCACGCACGACCACACAGCCCGCCAGGGTCCCCACGTGGGGAGCGCCACAGCGCGTGGTTCTGGTTGGCGTGTGTGACGGAGGCCGGAGCCGCTGTGGGAGGACAGACACCGCCTCGGGCAGCATATCTGTAAGGCAGAGCCCGGGGCCCGTGTGCTCGTCCTGAAAGCATGATCGAAGCCAGCGGTCGGCAAACTCATTCGTCCACAGAGCCAAATATCAACAGGACGACACTGACATTTCTTTGGAGAGCCACGTTTTTTAAACTTAAACTTCTTCGAACGCCACTTCTTCAACGTAGACTCGCCCGGGCTGTGGCATTTTGTGGAAGAGCCACACTCAAGGGGCCAAAGAGCCGCATGTGGCCTGAGAGCCTCAGTTTGCCGACCACAGGTCCATGTGGACGTACACTTTTACAACATCTGTGGCGTCTCCAGAACGTCCGCGTGCAGGCTGGGGCAGTGATCGCCAGCGTTCAGGGATCTCCAGGCCCCGGGGGAGCCGGGCTGGGCAAGTCCGGGCAGCCGTGGCCATGGGGTGCCGGCCGGGGTACCGTGGCTCCCGCCCTGGGCAGAGGCAGGCGGTGCCCCTGCCCGTTGGGGTTCGGCTCCATTTGGAACACGCCCTGTGCCAAGGCTGGGTCCCGGCTCTGGGAAGACTCGGCGGGCTGGACGGGGTCCAGGCTCGGCCGTGGCCACGATTAAGGCGTGACATCTGAGCAGCGGTATTTACCGCAGGGCTGCGGGCGGGATTACGGGCTCGGGGAGGCCAGGCCTGTGGCTGCACCCCACGGCGCCCGCCCCAGGACTGGCTGCTCAGAGACGGGGCGTCCCCTCCCTGGCGCCCTGAGTGCTTGTGGGGGGTGAGGGGGTCTTGTCGAGGCCCAATCGCCGAGCTGAGCCGGGAGCTTACCGCTGCCTCATGCTCCAGGCTGGTGGCTCCAGGTCAGCGGCCAGGGCTGGAATGTGGGCTGAGCTTTATTTACTTATTAAACACACACACACACACACACACACACACACACACACACACACATTTTTATTGATTTCAGAGAGTGGGGGAGAGGAATAGGGGGAAAATCATCAATGATGATAGAGAATTGTGGATCGGCTGCCTCCTTCATGCCCCCACGAGGGATCGAGCCTGCCACCCAGGCCTGTGCCCTGACCGGGAACCGAACCCTGACCTCCTGGTTCCCAGGCCGACACTCAACCCCTGAGCCACACCGGGCGAGCAGCTTCAGGAGACCCCGGCCGTCCTCATCGCCCCGACTATTTAAACCCAGACAGCGGCCCGGGGCCCGAGCGGAGGCCGCAGACTGACCGCCTCTGCTCCCGCCTTGCAGGTCCGCAACCAGCACTGGAGCCTGATCATGGAGAGCGTGGTGCCGTCCGACAAGGGCAACTACACCTGCGTGGTGGAGAACGAGTGCGGCTCCATCAACCACACCTACCACCTGGACGTCGTGGGTGAGCCTCCCCCTGCCCTCCGGAGGCCGCCGTCCGCGCTTCCCGAGCTCACGCCGTCCGCGCTCTCCGGGCCCGTGCTGGCACCGGGCCGGCCTCCTGCCGTGGGACGGGGCCCTGTTCCTTCTGAGCCAGGCTGCGTGTGTCTTGCGTGTGCCTGGAGCCCGTTTGGTTCACGTGACCAGGGCCCCGCCGCCTGCTCGGGGGAGCGGACAGGCTGGGCTGGGCGGTGAGTTGGCGGTCCTCCCTCGTCCTCCCTCGTCCCCCAGCCGCCCCGCGCCACCTCCTCAGCCCTCCGAGTTGCTGAGCGGCCGGGCCAGAGGACGGGTGAAGCGGACGGTGGTGTGCGGACAGGCTGGCGGGCTGCGCCTGCTCCGTAGGTGAACGGGGCCCGAGAGCGGAGGCGGGCTGGTGCGGACCACGAGGGGCGCTGGGCGGGGTCCCGGTGGCTCCCGTCCGGGGGACGGTGCTGCGCGGCTGTGGGTGTCGGGGAGAAGGCGTTAGAGACCGATGCCGAGGGAGCCAGCTGCCCGGGGCCTGAGTCACAGGGTCACTCAGAGCCTGGCTCTCCCCGTGGCCTCCGGCTGGCTCTGCTCGGGGTGGCTTTTATGGCCTCGGTCGCGTCCGAGCCAAAGCTCAGATCTTTGTATTCAAACCTGTTCCGACGTCCCGAGGAGGATGGCCAGTTAGCCAGGATCCATTCCCTGTCGCTGACAGTCTTCCTTTGTGTCCGAGCATCAGTGTGTGGGGCCACGGTAAACACTGGCCTCTGACCTGCAGTCTCCTCTGCAGGACTTGGGAGTGAATCAGTCTCGATGTTTAGCCTCCTGGCCGCTCGGCCTCCTGCTTTAGAAAAGGCTTCACTGGAGCCCTTGACTAGGGGCTGAGGGTGTGGGGAGAGGGAGGCCTGGGGAGGGGGGATGCGGGGGGAGGGGGCGCCAGAGGGAGAGGGGGGTGCGGGGAGGGGGGTGTGGGGAGGGGGGCGCCGGGAGGTGCGAGAGCCGTCTCCCAGCCTGCAGCCTGTTTATTCTGCGTGTAGTTGGTGGAACCTCATTCCAGCCGTGCAGCCAACTGTCCCGTGGCGGCCGGCCGCGCCCTCCGGGCTGCCTTCCCTCCGCCTCCATCTGGAATTCACACAGGGCCTCGGGGCCTCTGCTCCCATCCCCCACGGCCCTGGCCCCGCACCCGAACCGCAGAGCCCAGCCTGTTCCTGTGTAACAGCCACAGCAGACGCAGGTGAGGGGCTGGTCACGCCACGCCCCGTAAGCGGGACCCGTTCCCTCCTAATATCCGAGAGTCGGACCCACGGGCAGGGCCTCGCCTCGCCCGGTACCTCCCGTGGAGAGGAGGAGAGGTGAGCGAGCTGTGGCTCGTCCTCTCTTCCAGAGAAACTCACTGAGCAACCTTTCTTTTTTGTTTTGTTAACCTTCCTCCGAGGTTGTTTTTCCATTGATTTTTAGAGAGCGGGAGGGAGAGGGGCAGAGACACATGGATTGGTTGCCTCCTGCATGCACTCCGGCCAGGGCCGGGGAAACCCGCAACGGAGGTACATGCCCTTGACCGAAATAGAACCCGGGACCCTTCAGTTCGAGGGCTGCTGCTGTAGCCACTGAACCACAGCGGCCAGAGCCACTGACAGTCTTCCTATTGGCTGCCCCGCAGCATGGCAGACGGCGGGGGGGGGTCCGTTCTCCAGGGCTGTGTGGAGTCCCGGGGGAGGGGGGGCACCTGAGCTGCTGGAGGGCCTCCGTGCCCCCGTCCCGGCCCTGTGCCCCCCTGGCCCAGCTGTGGGGGCCACCTCACCTGCTCGTGTCTGCGGGACCTGCTGCCCGGCCCCCTCCCTCAGCTGCCGGCTGCTCCCAGCATTCACCCTGGTTTTTCAGAAGTTAGAACAGGAGCCCCGTTGCTGTCATCCCCTGGGAGTGATCACTGGTGGAGGGTCTGATGGCACCCACTGGGGGTGGGGGTGGGGGAGGAGGAGGGGGAGGAGGGGAGGAGAGGAGGAGGACAGGGAGGAGGCAGGGGGAGGAGGAGGGAAGTATGGAGAAGGGGAGGAGGGGGAGGGGAGGAGGGAGGGAGAGGGAAGGAGAGGGGAGGGGAAGGGGGGCACCCGCCCCATGCAGATGCTGGCACCCGGGACCTTGTCCAGGACGTTTGGGGCAGAGAGTGCGGTTGGGACGGAAATCAAAGCCTGATGTGGAGGAACAGAGGGAGGGGAGGCCTCCCGGCTGTTTGAAAATATTCTCGGGGCGCGTTCCCTGGTTTCGTTTTCTGCGAAGGAAGGCAGCTGTCAGGAGCTGGAGGGGGCGGTTTCCATGACGGGCCCTCACATCTCGGCCGAGTGAGAGGCTCGGGGGTGTTTGTGGAAAGGCCGGATCGGGGGCCGGTGTGCGGTGTTGGCATGCCGTCCTGTGCGAGAGCAGCAGCCGCACCGGGCGCCGGTTTTTAAAGACACAGCCGGGGGAGAGCCGTCCCTGCCCGGCGCGGCCGCGGCCCTGCCGGCAGCCCGGTGAGTCAGCGCCTGCCTCGGCCTGGCGCGGCCGGGGTGCCGGCCCATGAAAGCGCCCATTGTTCCCGGGCACCGGGGCCGGGGCGCCGCACAGTGTTTGCTTGTGAACAGATTTATGAGGGACAAGCGTGTGTAAGGGAGACGGGGCGGCTGGGAGCCCGCTGACCGGGCTGCCGGGACGTGTAGGGTTTTAGAGTTCCTTTGTGTCCAAGCATCAGTGTGTGGGGCCATGGTAAACACTGACCTCTGGACACCAAACACCGGTGCAGAGGCGGGAAACCGGGCCCCAGAGTGGACGCCTCGGCAGAGGGTGCCGGGTACGAGGAGGCTGGCTGACGAGGAGGCTGGCGGCCTCTAGCCCAGGGGCAGGTGTGCATGGACGTAGCTCTGGGGCCGGGGCTGGCCAGGGTTACCCAGACCTCCACCCTGCCAGCCGTGAGCGGGTCCCCTGGCACCAGCTGCTGCCAGGCCTGCCCAGGAGGCTCACCCCTACCACCGGCCACAGTGCCGTTAGCCAAAGCGGGAGGGTGCTGCGGGCGCTGCAGGGCCCCCAGCTTTGCAGCCTGCTGCCCCCAAATCTGGGAGCCCCCTCTTCGGGGTCCTTGGTGCAGCCTGACTGGGGATGATATTGGGGCAGATGAGTGGCTCCGTGGGGCCAGCCTTCCTGTTTCTCACGTGGAAACGCGGGCAGGTGTCTGACGTGCTGGCAGATCCTGGCACTCGGTGTGCTAAGAGGAACCTCGCGCGCTTTCGTTTTCTTGAGGTTTTTATCTATTTGTTTTCACCTGTGTTTTCACTGGCGTTTTTAGAGAGAGGAAGGGAGAGGGATAGAGAGATAGAGACGCCTGTGAGAGAGGAACACCATGGGCTGCCCCTCGCACACCCCACCCTGGGCATCGATCCCGCAGCCCGGGGAATTGAACCCGCGACCTCTTGGTTTCTGGGTTGACGCTCAACCACTGAGCTACACTGGCCTGGCTTTTTGAAAAGTTTTTTAAGACTCTCAGTAGGCTTCTGCAGGAAAATTGATTTTTTCTTGTCCAGCAGCCTGCACACAGGGACATTTTAACCAGAACGGCTCAGAGGGAACCAGGCTCCGATAGCTCTTGTTCTAACGTGTGCGCCCAACCCTGGGGCCGGCTGCACTGGGGACAGCAGGGGAACTCCTGTTTGAGTGGCGTTGGAGAAGGCAGGGAAGGCTGGTCCCGGCGGGCGGGTGACGGGACGGCAGTGCCTGTGAACAGCGGGAACGAGGTGTGTGCTGCCGTGGACGGAGGTCCAGTGAGCCTGTCCTCCCAGGGCCTGCGGACAAGGCACCAGCAGGGGCTCTGTCCCTGCTTCTCGGGGGCCCTGGTGCTGAGATGCTCGCGCACCTCTGAGTGGGAGAGGGGCCTCCCCGGGCCCGAGACTGGAGGGGTGTCCTCTGCTGACACCCTTTTCCCCGAGAGACGTAAGGCGAGGGCGGTGGGGAGCGGTTGCTAGCCCACCTTGATGGCGCCTCTCTCAAGACAGAGCCCGGCTGGCGTAGCTCAGTGGTGAGCGCCGGCCTGGGAACCAGGAGGTCAGGGTTTGGTGCCTGGTCAGGGCCCAGGCCCGGGTTGCAGGCTTGATCCCCAGTGTGGGGTGTGCAGGAGGCAGCCAGTCCATGGCTCTCTCTCATGGATGTTTCTCTCCCTCCCCCTCTCCCTCCCTCTCTCTGAAACCAGTAAAAAATGTTTTTACAAGAAAATAAATAAAAAGACAGTGTCAGCCCTGCCAGGACCTGCTGGTGCCGCTTCCTGGGGCCACGTCTGAGTAAGCAGGGGTAACACGGGCCGGGTGTCAGCCTTCGGCACAAACACTGCTCACGGAGGAGAGGACGGAGGACAGAGAGGGCTTGCGCCGAGGAAGTGCCAGGGGAGAGAGCGTTGGTGCCTCCCGCCTGCCTGTAACTCGCTCTCGCTCTTGGTTTGTTTTCTTTAAAAACAAGCGCGGAAGGTCTCCCCGAAGCGGCTCGGACACGGGTTGGGGGGCCGTGGGGGGGCCGTTTCGGTGTCGGGGTGAAAGGGGGAGCGTGGCTCGCTGCCTGGGAGGTGAGCGTCCGCACCGCCCCACGTGGGTGCAGGACGGTCCCTGTGCCCTGGCCGTTCCCCTTCTCGTCGGCCTGGGCAACACTCTCCCTCGGTCCCGGGGCACGGACCCCGCAGCTCCGCCCACGCGGCCTCCTCTCCGTCTCCAACGCGCCGCCTGAGCCCTGAGGCCCTTTGTTCAGGGCCCCTGGCCGCTTCACTTCCAGAGGCCCCGCCAGCGAAGGAGACCCTTTTGGCTCCAGTTCGCAGGCAGCCTTCTGGGCAGCACAGCTCACTCACCCGCCTCTCCCCTCCCGTCCCCCCCCCCCCCCCCCCGCAGAGCGGTCCCCGCACCGGCCCATCCTCCAGGCGGGGCTGCCCGCCAACGCCTCCACGGTGGTCGGGGGTGACGTGGAGTTTGTCTGCAAAGTGTACAGCGATGCCCAGCCCCACATCCAGTGGATCAAGCACGTGGAGAAGAACGGCAGCAAGTACGGGCCCGACGGGCTGCCTTACCTCAAGGTCCTGAAGGTGAGGCTGCCTGAGCCCGACGGCACCGGGGGTGTGTGTGTGGGGGGGTCCCTGACAGGGCCCAGCCACGGCGCCCTGACTTCCTCTTGGATCGGAGCGACCAGTCTGCTGAGGGGCCGGTACAGAGCGTGCTGGGGAATCAGTCAAAACCCACAGGGACCTGGGGAGGGGGTGGGGGGACCGCCAGAGCTGGAGTCAGAGAAGGGGAGCCGTCTGTGAGGGTGGGGACCCCAGGGTGGTCCCCGAGCAGGGCAGCTGCAGCGAGCACGTGGGGGGCGGTGGCCAGAAAGAGCTTTTTCCCTCCTGGGGGCGGGGCCGGTGCTGCTGCAGCGCAGATGTGTGTATCGGACGTCACCTTTTTGGCGGCCTTTTAGATTCTCCTTTTCAAAGAGACCCCTTTGCCGCGGAAATGCATTCACGTGCGGTTTCAGCAGTAGACTGTATATCTTATTTTTTAAGATATGTATATTTTTATTGATTTCAGAGAGGAAGGGAGCGGGAGAGAGAAACATCAATGATGAGAGAGAATCATGGATCGGCTGCCTCCTGCACGTCCCACACTGGGGATCAAGCCCCCCAGGCATGCGCCCTGGACTGGGATCGAACCCAGGACCCTTCAGTCCACAGGCCGATGCTCCATCCACTGAGCCACACCAACAGACAGGGGTCCTTGGAAGCTGGTTCTGCGCCCGCGAAACGTGGGGCCGGGACCCTCCCTCCCCGTGCTGCCAGCCCGCTCCCTGCAGCTCCCGCTGGGACAGCACCAGCCGCTCGCTGCTGCAGACCCCCGGCCGTTCGGGCCGCCCACCATTCTCCCCACACGGAGCTGCTCACAGACAAGGCTCTTAAAGGAGCCGCGGCCCACAAAGCCACCAAGGGCTCCTCTGAGACCCGCACCCTCGGGGTGCTCTCCAGCTGAGACGCGAAGGGCCGGAGAGCTGGGAGAAAGGGGCTCACCGGGAGCCCCCCTCGCCAGCAGGCCCCTCTCCCGGCGTGGGCGTATGCTGTCCCCCAGGCCGGGCCCCGGGCCGCGTGTGCCCCCGGAGCCGAGCCCTGCGTGTAGTGGCGGGACCGCCGGCGCCGAGTCGATGTTGTTCTCTGTCTGTTCCAGCACTCGGGGATAAATAGTTCCAATGCGGAAGTGCTGGCTCTGTTGAACGTGACGCCAGCGGACGCGGGGGAGTATATATGTAAGGTCTCCAATTACATAGGGCAGGCCAACCAGTCCGCCTGGCTCACGGTCCTGCCCAAGCAGCAAGGTAACGGCGCCTCCGGTTCTCGTCCTCTGTTCTCGTTGTGTTTCTACAAAGGCTGGTGTAGACGCTGGAGAGACGTGGTGCTTTGGGCGACGGCAGGCAGCTTATAGGATCCTCGGTGGCCTCGGGGTGTCCGTCACCATCTTCCTTGGGTGATGCGGCTGGTGGGCGCCAGCAGCCATGGAAAAGCGCCCACGGTGCTCGCGGTGCCCGCTCTGGCTCCTTCCGGAGGCGCCCCACCCCCCAGCTTTAGAGCGTTCGCTCCCTCCGGGGCCTCTGTCTGGGCTGCACAGACCCCATCCTCGCGGCACCTGGAACCTGCGTGCCCACGGCTCCACAGACGTCACACCTCCTCCGGCCCCCAGTTTCTAGGGAAATATGGGCACAATGCCGTTTGTCCATGGGCATAGTTTCCTTGCTTGCATAACTGATCTTGTGAGATGCTGCCCTTGACCTTGGTGTCCTGGACCTTATTATCTGGACCTTGAATTCCTGGAACTTATTGTTTTGACCTTGATGTCCTGGACCTTACTGTCCTGACCTTGGCGCCCAGGACCTTGGCGTCCTTGACCTTGGCGTTCTTGACTTTGGCGTCCTGGACCTTACTGTCCTGACCTTGGCGTTCTTGACCTTGGTGTCCTGGACCTTATTGTCCTGACCTTGGTGCCCTGGACATGGCTGTCTGCGATTGGGGACAGCCCATGGAGCAACTGTCAAGGCAGCAGGTGGCCTCCTCAGCCTGCCCCGACTCAGACTCACATGCTTAGTTAAAAGGGGAGAAAAAAAGCCAGTTCCTTCCCTGCCGAGATCCAGCTGTTTCTTCCACTTCATCTCCACGCAGTGGAGGTCCATGTGACCAAGCCTGGCAGCCGGGTGACTTCCTGGCTGGTCCTCAGGGGCCGGAAGGACGTGCAAGGCGCCCGCTTGGAGGTGCCCACGGGGTTCTGCTTTGCACCCCAGCCCTCGAGACAGACCCCCCCTTCCCCGAAGTGGGTGTCTGCAGCCCACAGGACCGGAGCCCCGCGGGGAGCAGGGCACACACGTGTGGAACCCCCCCCCTCCAGAGCGCCGCCAAGCCGAGCGCGGCCTCCGTGGCCGCTGTTTCCATGGGTCTGCGGGCGCCGCGGTGGTGGCGCTGGTGTGGTGGCGGGCTGCGCGGTGAGCCGCTCCTGTCGCTGTCCCTGGTTGTGGGCTTCGCGGACGGGCCGGGCCGGATCCTGTGTGGCCAGCCCCGCCGGGCCCAGGCCCCGGCCCCTCCGCCTCGTCCCTGTGTGTCTACCTGTTCTCTCGCTCCCTGTCTTCTAGGCCGCCGGTGTTAACACCACGGACAAGGAGATTGAGGTGCTCTATATTCGGAATGTAACTTTTGAGGATGCTGGGGAGTATACGTGCTTGGCGGGTAACTCTATCGGGATCTCCTTTCACTCTGCATGGTTGACAGTCCTGCCAGGTACATACCTCGTGCTCCCGCCTCGGCTGGGTGTCCCGGGCCTCGTCCCTCTTCCTGGTTGGGTGCTCTGGAGCCAACTCGCTTCTGTCCTCAGAAACCGCCCCCTCCTCTCCGCAGAAAGGCGCGGCCATGGCCACCGTCCTCCCCCGGGGAAGAGCCGCTGCCTGGGGAAGTCCGTACGGCGGGGTCCCCCACGCACGTGCACGGTCACGTGACGTGTCTCCCCGAGCCCCGGGGACCCCACGTTCTCCGTGCGTCACGGAGTCGATGCGGAAATTTGCCCGCCAGTCCCCGTGTCTCCTAAGACGTGGGACTTATTTGTAACAACAAAGCGATTTTTTTTTTTCCTCATTTAAATTCCATGGCGCTCTGTACGTGGCCTCCACATTCCGTTTTGTAACGGGAGTAAGCGGACAATGGGTGTCGCGGTGCCTGGGCGAGGCGCCTGCGTGTGGGTGCATAGAAGCGGTGCGGTGCCCGCCCTGGGCTCGGTGGCTCCCTGCATGTGGTCCTGGGAGGGGCTGCCTGTCCGCCTGCCTTCCCCACGAGCATGCGCTTGCCTCTCGCTCGATGTTATTTCTGTCCCGTGCGGGGAAATCAACATCCGCTGCCTCCACACTGCCCTCTGACTCTGTAACCCAAGTGTCTGACTCTGTAACCCAAGTGTCCTGCTCCTCTCGTTTCCGTGGTGACTGCTCTGCTGCTTACGTCCCACGACACTGCCAGTGCCTCCTTGTGGCCACCGCGTGCGCACCTCCTCTCCAGCAGGACGGGGTCGCTCCACGCTGCGCTGAGCGGCTGAGTGTCCTGACCGTCTTGCGAGCATTTTTCTGATGAAAACGTGTGAGCTCCAAGGAATGCCACTGCACCCGTGTTCCCCGGTGGGGGGGCAGCGAGCTTGCTCTTCCTCGCCGCCCTGCGCGCCTCAGGCGCCCGGTGGCCCGCCTTACCCAGCCTGCCCATGGCCCGCGCACTAACCCAGAACGCGGCCCAGGACGGCTGTGCAAACCACTGCCCGCGGGTCCGCCATCGAGGCCCGAGGAGGGAGCACCGGCCGCTGGGGCTGATGTGAGAACGTGCTCCCCGGCGTAATTATACGTGGACGCCCACACAGTGCCGCTTCTGTTTTTCTTTAAAAGCTGGAGTGATGTGTCACTGTAACCAGCTACACAGAAACGGTAATGGTTATCGCTCCTGTTACTGCTGTTTTTACGTGTTAATCCTCACCCCAGGATGTTTCCCCATTGAATTTTAGAGAGAGCGGAAGAGAGAGAGAAAGACAGGGAGAAACACCGATGTCACATTGATGGGTTGCCTCTTGCGTGGACCCCAACTAGGGCCCAGGCTGGGGAGGAGCCTGCACCGAGGTTCATGCCCTTGACCAGAGTCGAACCCGGGACCCTTTGGTCCACAGGCCAGCGCTCTGCCAATGAGCCAGCTGCCCTGGGCAAAACATTACGCGGGCGATTGATTAAGGACTGTCCCGGACACCACTGTGGCCGCACAGACAGCTTCCCTGTCAGCAGCAAGTCCGCCTGCGTGCCAAGCGCGTTTGCTCCTCTGTAGAACCTCGAGGGCTGCGCTCAGGATCTGGACCCCTTTTGGGCCGGCGGCCTGCCCGGTGACTCCCTCCTCTATCTCCATGGGCCTGGGTGCATCTGAGCCGTCCCCTCTTCCTCTGGGAGCCCGCCCAGCTCACACGGGCCCGGGCCCCTCAGACACAGTGGGCTTGTCCGTCTCAGGACTCGGTCTGCACAGGGCGGGGGCGGGACAGGACGGAGCACAGCCCTCCTGTGGGTGCGGGGGCCCGGCCTGTGCTGCCCCAGCGTGCCAGGTCTCAGAGTCTAGTCTGCCCTCGGTGCTGCGGGGGCAGCCGGACCCTCGGCCGCTGGGTTCAGCGACCTCTGAGGCCGTAGGGAGTGGCGCCCGGGCCCTGGTGGCAGAGCGAGGGGCACGGCAGGTGCAGGGAGGCCGCCCTGTGCATGCCCGCCGCCTCCGCCGTGCCCGGACGCAGCCGCCCAGCTCCTAACGGCAGCCCGCCTGTCTCCCTCCGCGCCCGCGCAGCTCCCGTGCGGGAGAAGGAGCTGCCCGCGGCCCCCGACTACCTGGAGATCGCCATCTACTGCATCGGCGTGTTCCTCATCGCCTGCATGGTGGTGACGGTCGTCCTGTGCCGCATGAAGGCCTCGGCCAAGAAGCCCGACTTCAGCAGCCCGCCCGCCGTGCACAAGCTCTCCAAGCGCATCCCCCTGCGCAGACAGGTAACAGAAAGTAGATGGAGAGTTTGCAGACCCTACTCCGGCCCCGCCGGCCCCTCGGTCCCCTGCCCCCGCCCGGCACCCCAGCTCCTGGGGCCAGAGCGCGGGAGGCAGGCCCTGAGCGTCCCGAGGGGTCCAGGGCGTCGAGCTCCCAGGGCAGGGGAGGGCGAGGCTGGCAGAGCCGATCAGCAGCACGAGGGGCACGGGGGAGGGGGGCAGGGGAGGGCAGGGCTGCGGGTTGGATGACATTCGGCGGCTGCCTCTGAGGCACAGGCCCCTCTGTCCCCCCTTTGTCCCCCGTGATCGGATGCTCTTGTCTTTTGTGGGGTAGGCCGTGGCGGGAGGCCGGGGTGGGGGGCAGGCTTAGGCCACTGGTTGGAAAGGGAGGGACACTCCTTCCCTTCAACATTTTATTTTTTAATCCTTCACCCGAGGATATTCTTTATTGATTGATAGAGATAGTGGGAGAGAGAGGAGAAACAGAGAGGAACATCGATGTGAGAGAGACACGTCGATGGGCTGCCTCCTGCACGCAGCCCGACCGGGGCCCAGGCCAGGGGGAACCTGCAAGTGAAGCGCGTGCCTGGACGGGACCCTGGGGTCCGCAGGCCGACGCTCTATCCACTGAGCCAAACTGGCCGGGGCTGAACTTACTCTTCTAAGTTGAGGTCAGAAGCCGGGTCCCTGAGGTGCTGTTGAGCTACTGCTTGCTATAAACTGGCCCGTGATGTCTTTCCAGACGGAGTGTTGGCTCCACTGCTCTGATGCTTAAAATAGAACCGCGCGTGTGTGTGTGTGTGTGTGTGTGTGTGTGTGTGTGTGTGTTTCTGGATTCAGTCAGGGCTGTGGCCGTGGATTTGGCTCCAGTGGTTTCTATGCTGAACAGGCACCAGGTTGTCAGTTGCCTCGTGCGGGGGCGTCGGGGCCCGTGGGCTTAGTGCTGCTCTGGGGAGAGGCGGGCAGTGGGGCCGGGCCAGGGCCTCTGCCTCGGCCTCCGCCCTGCAGGGCGGGCACAGGGAGCCCTCATCTCCGACCCCGGTCCCAGCAGAGGGGACACGTGCGCTGCACAGTTTCCCGAGTCCTTTGGGACTTGGTCCCCGTAAAGGCGGTGCTGTTTGAAACGAGGGACCCCAGCGCCCTGGCTGGGTCCCGTGAGCGCTGGCAGAGGTCCCTCCTGGGGCTTGTCGAGCCGCAGGCTCCTCCATCGCAGCCCGAGGCCTCAAGTGGGGCCAGGAGTCTGCGTCCGGGCGAGGCCTCGGGCTCCGAAGTGGTCGGTCCAGCCCGGCGCCTCCCGGGACCGAAGGAGCCGTGACGTGTTCTGGCCGAGGATTAGGGACCAGATGGCCGCAGGAGTCTGGCCGGGGCCTGGCTGTTCTCCGCCCAGCGCTGCGCGCCAGCCTCTGGGCCGAAGGGGGCCTTGCCCACGGCTCTGAAGCCACGTAGCCGGCAGGCCCTTCTCTGGCCACAGCCACGAGCACTGCCGCTGGGAGGGTGCAGCTCCCGGCACTCCGGGCCAGTGCCCCCAGGTGCCCCTCGTGCTCCCCCTCCCAGGCCCCCTGCACTGTTCCTGCACCGCCTTCACGAGAGGCCGGGCCCAGGCGGCTGACTGAGGTGCTCCACCTGCTGCTGCTTTTCTTTACTCTTAAAAAAGTAATATGTTTATTGATGTCAGAGGGAAGGGAGAGGGAGAGAGAAACATCAACGATGAGAGGATCCCTGATGGGCGGCCTCCTGCACGCCCCCCACTGGCATCGAGCCCACAGCCCAGGCCTGTGCCCTGACGGCAGTCGGACAGTGACCTTTTCTAATGGCCCACCCCGGAGGACAGCTCCGCCTGCGTCCGGGATTATTTCATCACCTTCCCCTGCAGCTGTTGCAATGCTCTTCTCTCTGCTTCCTGTGAAGGGCAGATACCCTTCACCTCCGACTGGACCCTGGTGGTCACATCTGCATTCCTCCCGCTGGCTGCTGGCCTGCCTTCGTTCCCGGCTCCGGGCCCCTCCCCGCTCCCTCCCTCCCTCCTTCCTCTTTGCCTCCAAGGCAGCCGGAGGAGGAGGGTTCCTTTGAAATGGGGGAGTGGGGGAGAAAGCAGAGAAGGCGGGCACAGGCCAGTCCCCGGAGAGAGGTGTCAGGGACTCATTTGTTTGGGGGAGTGTTGCCCGCTCAGCCCCTCGCAGCTGTCTGCATGGGCTGCACGGTTCTTGGCGAGGAGCACCTGGCCCTGAGCACGGCCCAAGGGTGGGCAGGGGGTGCCAGTCAGGCGTCTGGGACAGAGGTTGTTGGCCTGGAGCCGCAATGAAGGCCCCAGAGAGGTTGGCAGATGTGCTGGCAGATGAGTCGATGAAAGAGAAAATTCCACAGGGACGCCAGGCGTGCTTCACCTGGTGGCAGGTGAGCCTGAAACCAGATGCCTGGGGCCTGGGGACAGCCTGTCCCTCCTCATGCTCCCCCTCCTCATCCTCCCCCCTTCCCCCCTTTTCCCTCCTCCCTTCCCTCCTCCTTCCTCCTCCCTCATCCTCTCTCCTCCCCCTTCCTCCCTCTCTCTCTTTCTCCCCCTCCCCTTCCTCCTCCCTCCCTCCTCCTCTCTCCTCCCCCTCTGCCTCCTCCTCCCTTCCCTCCTCCCTCCTCCCTCCTCCTCTCTCCTCCCCCTCCTCTCTCTCTCTCTTCTTTCTCCCCCTCCCCCTCCTCCTCCATCTCCTCCCTCTCCTCCCTTCCTCCTCCCCCTCTGCCTCCTCCCCACAGGTGGAGCCTGAATTTACCTGCCTGGCCCCTCCCTCCGTCCCTCCCCACACACGCTGACAGCGCCCCTCAGCTCATCAATGGCTGTTGTTAAAACAAGCCGCCTTTTCCTTGATCCTGTTGAGTTTCATGCTTGACATTCACCAGCCTGTTCTGGACGCACTGACATAGGTCAGGCATGTCAGCCTCTTTCCCCCCAAAGCCTTTTCCTCCGATGCCAGGAGGAAATGCTGGCGAGCGGTTGTTTCCCAGGAGGCTTTGAGACTCCCGACGGGCCCTTCAGGCCACAGGCGGACCCGTTGTCCACAGAGCCACGCGGGCTGGGGCTCCAGGGCTCAGGGTCTGCCGCCAGCTAGAGCCATGACCTCGGGCGATTCCATCCTGGGCAGCCCCAGGGTGGCATGCAGGGGCGTGGCCTCTCCCCTGCGAGGGCCTGAGGATCTAAACAATGTCATTCTCGCTGGTGGCCCGCCCAAAGGATCCACCAGGCACAGGCTGTGCCCTGGTTTCCGAATGGAGATTCTCAGTGGGAGTCAGGGCTTGGGAGGCCGGTGGGTGTGGCTGGGGTGCTGTGTCCTCAGGGATAAACAGTCCCCCCTGCCCTCTGGCCCCCCTCCCCCCGCCCCCCCACACCTCTGCCCTGGGCCCTGCTCCTTCTCATCCCCTAGAAGGAGGAGATAAGAGTTTCTTGGTGGCCCTTTAGGGAGGAAAGAGGAGGGAAAAAACACCACTTCCTTGCTTCGCCTGCTACTTGAGGGTGAAACCCTCAGAGCGCATTCCGTGGAAAGCCTGGCTTACGTCACGGGAAGGGACGGGACTCCGGAAGGGCCGGGAAGCAGCTCTCCACGACCGCGTGTGTCTTCGGGGTCCACGGAGGGAAGCGTGTCAGCGTGTTAGCCTCATTGTTTATGAATGACTTAATTGCCGCCGTCCGTGGCGCAGTTTTAAGCGAGGTGAACAGGAGGCCCGGGCGCTGGCGAAGAGGGTCTGACGGGAAGAGGTGCTTTGGGGCCACGAAGGAAGAAAGGGGTGATCGATGGTGCCAGATCCGTCTCAGGCTGCGGGGCTTTCTCGGGAGATGTAGGCCTGGCAGTGGCATGCCAGCAGTCTAGAAAGTTCTGAAGGAGACGAGTTCTGCCCCTCCCTCCGCTCCTAATTCTTCTCCGACACGGCTGAGCTTTTTAAAAAGTCTTTAAGCGTCTTCGGAGGGTGTTTTTCCCATCGGTTTTTAGAGCGTGGAAGGCAGGGAGAGGGGGGGAGAGACATCAATGTGAGAGAGACACAGGGATTGGTTGCCCCTACATGCACTCCGACCAGGATGGAACCTGCAGCCAAGTGTGCCCTTGATGGGAATTGAACCCGGGACTCTGCAGTCCTCAGTCTGGCTCTTTGTCCAAGGAGCCATGCGGGCCAGGACCTCCTGCAACTTCCCTAAAGCTCCAGGGAAGGCCAGCCTCTTGTGGGGGGGGCCAGGCCCTGTGGGAGGGGCCAGGCCCTGTGGGAGGAGCCAGCCCCTGTGGGAGGGGCCAGGCCCTGTGGGAGGGGCCAGGCCCCTCTGTGCCACTTGGTCATCAGTTCCCTCACCTGCCCCTCCGAGGTGGGCAGGGGAGCCGCTCTGCGGGTCATGTTGAACCCCACGTGCCCACCGTCTTGGCCAAAGTCCTGGCTGTGTCTGGCGGTCGGCAGGGTCAGACCAGGCAGCCCCTGGTGGGGCCAGAGTGTGTGTGACCCCAGAGGTGGCCTTCGGGGGGCCCGGGCCTTTCCTGGAGACCAGCACGGGGAGCTGCCAGCCCCGGCTGACCCGGGGAGCGTCAGCGAGAGCCTCCGGGAAGCCCTGTGCTCCCAGGAAGGCGCGGGCCGTTCCCAGGTGATTGTGGGTAAAGGTGTGTTTCTCTTCCTCCGGACTCTTGGTCCCACGCGCCTAAGGCTCTGGTTTCTGAGGCAGAGGCTGACCAGAGTCCCTGGGGTTCACCAGACGGCCTGGGCGCTCCCGGCCCAAGGTGACCTTGAGTAGAGGCGCCTGGGGCTGCTGGGAATCCTTTCAGGTTCAGATCCTCCCGTGAGCTAGTTCCTGGAATGTTCACTTGACATTTCTTTCTTCCTTTTTTTCAGTCCTCATCCGAGGATATTTTCCCATTGAGTTTTAGAGAGAGCGGAAGAGAGGGAAAGACAGAGAGAAACATGGATGTGAGAGAAACACATCGATAAATTGCCTCCCGCAGGCACCCTGACCAGGGCCCGGGCCAGGGCAGAGCCTGCAACTGAGGCACATTCCTGACCAGAATCAAGCCCAGGACCCTTCTGTCTGCAGGCCAACGCTCTAGCCACTGAGCCACACTGGCCAGGGCACGGCATGATACGTCAAAGACACAAAAAAACATCAAAGAGCTGATTGTCCAAAAGCTTTTGTGGAGTCTCCGAAGCACCACGTTGACCCTGGTCTGGCTGGTCTGCGGGGCGAGGGGTCCTGGGTCCCGGGGCAGGAGGACCCCGAGCAGCGGTGTCTGTGGGGCTGCCTCTCCTCGTGGCTGTCCTGGGGTTAGGGCAGAAGCAAGACGTGTTTTGAGCGGCGTGCGTATCCGTGTTTGGAACCCTGCCCTTCGGGACACGTGATTTGGATGAGGTTTGGTCCCGCGTAGACCGGAGGGCAGGGGCACTGAGCTGGGGGTTTGGGTCTCGGATGAGTGACTGTGTCCAGCCCCCCTCCCGTCTTCCTTCCGAGAGCTGACCGTCCTGCCGGGCTCTGGCCGAGGGGGCCAGGGTTACACCTGTGTCTCCGGGTTGTGTATCCAGGTGTCGGCCGAGTCCAGCTCCTCCATGAACTCCAACACGCCCCTGGTGCGGATCACCACGCGCCTGTCCTCCGCGGCGGACACCCCCATGCTGGCGGGCGTCTCGGAGTACGAGCTGCCCGAGGACCCCAAATGGGAGTTCCCCAGAGACAAGTGAGTACCCGGGGGGCACGTCGTGGGATGTGGGGGACCTGTGCTCTGTGTGACCCTCCCATGCAGGCTCTTGTGAGCTTGTATTTCTAAGGAACCACTAAGCCACGGCTGGTCCCCAGACAAGATGCTCCTCGTGAGCTTATTATTATTATTTATTAACTCACTGGACAATTCAGTCACAGTCAAATGCAAGAGGCGGGAGTTTCCCATTAGGAAAAAGGTCTCTGTCCTGCCCTGGTTACCAGACCATGCTACTCTGTGGTCCATTGTTTGGAGAAATTGATGGTAGAATATGTCGTCTTAAGAATCGTTACCCAGCCGTGGCCAGTGTGGCTCAATGGACAGAGCATCAGCTGGCAGACTGAAGGGTCCTGGGTTTGATTCCAGCCTGGGTCCTGGTTGGGAAGCATGCAGGGCATTGATTGTTGACTTCAGAAGGGGAAGAGAGAGAGAGGTAGAAACATCAGTGATGAGAGAGATCACTGATCGGCTGCCTCCTGCATGCCCCGCAAGGGGATTGAGCTCACAATCCAGGAATGTGCCCTGACCTGGAATCAAACCGTGACCTTCTGGTTTCTATGTCGATGCTCAAGCACCGAGCCACGCCGGCTGGACCCATTAGTGTTAATGGAAGTGATGTCCAGTTTATGGGCCTCCTGTAGTGATAGAACCATCCATCCACCCACCCACCCATCCATCCATCCATCCATCCACCCATCCACCCACTCACCCATCCACCCATCCACCCACTCACCCATCCAACCATCCACCCACCCACCCATCCATCCATCCACCCACCCATCCATCCATCCATCCATCCACCCATCCACCCACTCACCCATCCAACCATCCACCCACCCACGCACCCATCCACCCATCCACCCACCCATCCAGCCACCCACTCACCCATCCACCCACCCACCCACCCATTCATCTACCCACCCACTCATCCACCCACCCACCCACCCATCCAGTCAGCCATTTACCCATCCACCCACCCACCCATCCATTTGCTCATTGGAGTTGCCGGTGAGGCACCACGAGGACGGTGGCTCCTGCAGAACGTTGTGGAGGGGCTTCCCCTCGAGCCCTGCTCCCTGGTTTGGGGTGCCCGCAGGCTAGGGGGTCTGTGACACCTCTGTACCTAAAGGGCAGCTGAGGCGCGGCGACCAGCTGTAGGGAACCGCAGCCCGGGCTCAGCCGCGCTTCGCCGCCTGCGCCGCCGTGGCCGATAGCGCAGCCGGAGCCTGTGGGGCCCGTGTGGAAAGTCTGAGCGCTGAGCCTTTCAAAACAGGACTTAGCCAAGCGAGGGCGGAGCGTGTTCCGTGAATGAAGGCATTGAGAGCACTGCGGGGCCGGGCCGGGCTGCACAAAGGAAGGATTGTCACACCCGGGGTGGCCGGGCACGGGGACATAAATTAGCCCTTTTTCCAATGCAAATGTTTATTTTCTGCCAAGACGTTAAATTTAATTCCAGTCAGCGTAGGAGCCGAGTGACCTCAGCCCAGCATGCGCGGCCCCGGGCCAGGCTGCGCCGCCGTGAGCGCTGCTCTCCACGCTCAGTCCGCACTTGGCCTGCGGGAGAAACACGGTCACGCTGGTTCCGAGGCGGCTTCGTCCTGGGGCTGCTCCGGGCCCAGGGACAGATGTGCGCGTTCACAGGATGGTGCAGCACTTGCAGACTTAGACATTTCTCTGGGTTTTCTTCACGATTGATTTTGAGTAGTCACACGGATTTCCAGGCTGTTACGTAAAAAAAAATTCCTCCCTCCCCCCAATTTTTAGACATTTTTCCTTTTAGTGAAAAACTGGAGAGAGTCCTTGAAATGCTTTTAAGGCTCAGGTCCTGCATCCTGGCCCCAGCATGTACCGTGAACGCCATTGGTATTGGAGTAACGGCAGCTTTAGAGACACCACTTCACAGGGGCAAGAAGGAGCGTTCTGGGGAGCGGGGGCAGCTGATCGATGATTCTCTCTCACCGATGTTTCTACCTCTCTATCCCTCTCTTCCTCTCTGTAAAAAATCAATAAAATATATATTAAAAAAAGAAGAAGGAGCGTTCTGGGGAGTAGGGGCAGCTGATCGATGATTCTCTCTCATCGATGTTTCTACCTCTCTATCCCTCTCTTCCTCTCTGTAAAAAATCAATAAAATATATATTAAAAAAAGAAGAAGGAGCGTTCTGGGGAGCGGGGGCAGCTGATCGATGATTCTCTCTCATCGATGTTTCTACCTCTCTATCCCTCTCTTCCTCTCTGTAAAAAATCAATAAAATATATATTAAAAAAAGAAGAAGGAGCGTTCTGGGGATGTCCTGAGAGACGACGCTCGGTCACAAGCCCTTCGCTGCTCTTAGGGCTGCTGGCCACCCGCGGCCAGGTCCCTCCCGCCAGGGAAACAGACCCGGCGCCCAAATGTGAGACCTCATAGCCGCCGCCTCGCCGTCCTCTCGGCGTCACCCAGCAGACACGTTAGTTCCGTGACCAGCGCTCGGCGTCACTCAGCAGACACGTTAGTTCCGTGACCAGCGCTCGGCGTCACTCAGCAGACACGTTAGTTCCGTGTGACCAGCGCTCGGGCCGCTGGGAGCTCGCTCTGTCGGGTCCGGGCTTTCCCTGCGCCGTGCCCGCCGCCCGGTGCCGGCACTGACCCCGTCCCCCGTCCCCACGCAGGCTGACGCTGGGCAAGCCCCTGGGGGAAGGCTGCTTCGGGCAAGTGGTCATGGCCGAGGCCGTGGGCGTGGACAAGGACAAGCCCAAGGAGGCCGTCACCGTGGCTGTGAAGATGCTGAAGGGTGAGTGCGGCGGGAGGGCGGGGCAGGAGGGGGCGGGGCAGGAGGGGCGGGGCAGGAAGGGATGGGGGCGGGGCAGGAGGGGGCGGGGCAGGAGGGGGCGGGGCAGGAGGGGGTGGGGGAAGGAGGAGGGGCAGGGGGTGGGGGAACGGAGAGGGGCAAGAGGGAGTGAGGGAAGGGGGAGGGGGAGAGGGAGGGGCAGGAGGAGGAGGAGGAAGGGGGAGGGGCGGAAGGGGGAGGGGCGGAAGGGGAGGGGCAGGTCAGGAGGGGATGGGGGAAGGGGGAGGGGCAGGAGGGGGCAGGGCAGGAGGGGAATGGGGGAAGGGGGAGGGGCAGGAGGGGAAGGGGGAGGGGGGAGGGCAGGAGGGGGGAATGGGCTGAAGAAGGGGGGGTGGAGGGAAGAAGAGGGGCGAGGGACACCTTATTGAGAAAGTTCCTTTTGTGGCTCGTGAACTCTGACCTGGCAGGGGTCAGAGGGCACATTGCTGGCCTCGGGGTTGAGGGTTTTCAGTGTAAATCGGCATTTCAGACAGATGATTTACCTTGAGCTATGTGCACTTAAAAAAAAAATAGCCAGTTTGGCTCAGTTCGCCCTGGCTGCTTACGAAGTGGTTAGAGCCCAAGGTTCCCGGGTTCAATTCCCAGTCAAGGGCAGGTACCTCTGCCGCAAGCAGCCCGTTGATGTGTCTCTCACATAGACGTTTCTCTCTCTTCGAGCGTCCCCCGCCCCATTTTCTAGAAATCAACAGAAAAAGTATTAAAGTAAAAATCTGGTGAGGATTTAAACATAATAATAAAGGCGGGAAGCCAGTTTGTCAGCGGGCAGCCGCAGAGCTGTGAGCTTGCCTGGCAGAGCCTCAGCCTCGGCCTGAGAGGCCTAAATGCCAGTTCTGACTTCTCACCCTGTTGACCTCAAATTAGCCCTTGGACACGGGCAGGCAGTTCACGCTGGGCCTTTGCCCCCAACCAACAGAGGGCAGAGATGGCTGGGAAAGTCCCCTCTGGTGCTAACACTCAATTTCATGCTGTTTGAACCTTGAACCCAGTGCGGGCAGCTCCCCGCAGCGGCCGAGGGGTGCAGAGTGAGGAACCTCGGCCCCATTGGGTCTGGCCCTGCCAAGGCAGTCACAGGCGGGGCCCCAAATGCAATAAATCTAGGGGCTTTTTTTCATAGCTTCTTTACAAAAATCTATTCATTTCAGAGAAGACAGGGAAAGGAGAGAGAAAGACAGAGAGAGAGAGAGAGAGGCATCAATGATGAGAGAGCATCATTGATCAGCTGTCCCATATCAGAGATCTAGCCTGCAACCCAGGCATGTGCCCTGATCGGCTTCCTGGTTCATAGGACACTCAACCACTGAGCCACACCGGCCGGGACAGAGCCACGCCGGCCGGGACAGAGCCACGTAAACGTGTGTTAAGCGACAATGTTATAAATGCCTGGGGCCTGGGCAGACCCACCCTGAGCTCCGCCCTCCGGGGCACCTGGAACTGATGGTAACGCCCTGACGTTTGCAGATGACGCCACGGAGAAGGACCTCTCGGACCTGGTGTCGGAGATGGAGATGATGAAGATGATCGGCAAGCACAAGAACATCATCAACCTGCTGGGCGCCTGCACGCAGGACGGTGCGTGGGCGGGCGCTCACCCCCGTTCCCGGGCTGCAGCGGCCTCGCTCGGGGGTGGGGAGTGGGGGGGCTGTGGATTTGCCTGTGGGGCATTTCACGTGCGTGTATGAGGCTCTGTTTACAGTCCCCTGAGGGCGACGTCCCCGCCCTGGACACACAGGGCACCTCGCGTGGTCCCTGGGGCCGGGCCTGGGGGAGGTGGGTGCTGGGCACAGCGGATGAGGGGCCTGCAGGGCCTGGCGAGTGGACCCCACACAGGGAGCGTGGGCTCGCCCGGCCGCCTCCTTGGGCTTTTGGCACGTGAGTGCCGAGATAAAGGTCTCAGAACCAGGCCCTCTGTTAAGGTGGGGATTGCGGAGGCGAGGGTTTTGTTTTGTAAAATGTTTTCTTTCCCTTGGCCAAAGACATTTCCCCATAGATTTCTAGAGAGTGGAAGGGGGGAGGAGAGACAGAGAAACTGGATGAGAGAGACACAGTGATGGGTCGCCTCCTGCGTGCGCCCCGGCTACGACCTCGGGTGCAGGGATCCAGCATCGGACCGGGGACCCTGCGTGCGGGGAGGCCACGGGCCAGGGCGGGAGGCGGGTCTGAGCTGCTCCTCTCCGCCCGCAGGGCCCCTGTACGTCATCGTGGAGTACGCCGCCAAGGGCAACCTGCGGGAGTACCTGCGGGCGCGGCGGCCGCCCGGGATGGAGTACTCCTACGACATCAACCACGTGCCCGAGGAGCAGATGACCTTCAAGGACCTGGTGTCCTGCACCTACCAGCTGGCCCGCGGCATGGAGTACCTGGCCTCCCAGAAGGTGAGGGCTGGGGGGGGGTCCGCAGAGCAGGCAGGAGGCACGGGCCCTGGCCTGTCCCTGAGGCCGGGAGTCCCCGGGCATCCGCCACATTGGGGTCAACGGCCAGCGCAGCCCCTACCCTGACCTTTGGTGGCACGAGAGGTGAGCCCAGAGTCGCCTGCCCCTGAGCCTTGGGGCATGGCTGCCCCTGAGCCCAGGGCCGTGGCCACCCCTGAGCCCGGGGGGCCAGGGCCGGGAGCGGACACGCCGCCTGCAGAGCCGATGGTCGGGGCCTTGTTTGTTTCTAGGCAGGGAGGTTTGGACGTGGCTCTCGAGCCGTGTTGACGGTTTAGGGCCTGAACGTGGAGGTCGTGGGGCGGGTGCTCAGTCACCGCCCTGGGTTTTCTCCGGGTGATTCCTCGGATTTACTAGCAAGAGGGCCTCCACGGGGGGGGAGCAGGCAGGTCCCCCGGAGCCTGCATTCCAGGAATGCCGCCTGCAGTGGAACTCCGAGCATCCGAGTTATTCCGGAGCAGCCAGCCAGGTGCCGGGGTCCTGGGGCCATTGAGCCTGCACCTGGGCGGGGGCGGGGGGGGGGTGGGGGCTGCACAGTGACCTCTGGAGCACAGGGGAGTCTGACCTGCCCCAAAGCAGAAGGCCTCTGACAGTCCCAGTCAGTGACTGTGGGGGACTGGGGGGACTCTGGATTGACTCTCTCGGAGCAGAGGGTGGAGGTCAGAGGCCGGAGGTTGTGTCCTGGTGTCTCTGCTCCAAGCCCTGATATGTGGCCAGAGCCAGTGTGTGGGGAGCGGGTCCCACTGACCACAGGCCTGTGAACGCTCCGAGCTGGTGTTGGCGGGAGCTCGCCGCCCAGGGAGTGGCCCAGGCCTTGGGCGTTCGCCGTGGACAGGCCTAACCCCAGGACACGCTGTGGCCGGCCCTGGCGGGTGGGGCTCCTTGCTCTCCCTGGTCTGAGCTGAGCCCATCCCAGGCCACGGAAGCAGGCAGATGGGAGTGGGGGGCTGGGGGGAGGGGAGGCAGAAAGAAATGACTGATTCATTCTTCCCAGAGTTGGCCTTGCTTCTTCTTAAGGGGCTGCTGGTCAGGGCCATTGGGCGGGGCGGGCGGACCGATCGGTGCTGGAGGCGTGGCCGGGAGGTGAAGGCCCAGATGCTGGCGCTGGCCTTGGCCGGTGCTTCTGGACCTGGCGGCCGCGGCAGAGAGGGTGCGGGGCAGGGAGGTGGGGACCAGGCGCAGCCTGAGTGAGGGCCGCGTGGCCGGCTGCCGGGGGAGAACGGGCTCGCCCTGGGCCTGGGCTCAGGAAGGGCTTCCCGTTCCCTCCTCACCGAGAGGGAGGGCGGGCGGGAGGGAGGGAGGGATGGTGGGCGGGTGGGAGGGAAGGAGGGAGGGAATGAGGGAAGGAGGGAGGGAGGGAGGGATGGTGGGCGGGTGGGAGGGATGGTGGGCGGGTGGGAGGGAGGGAGGGAATGAGGGAGGGAGGGAGGGAAGGAGGGAGGGAGGGAGGGAAGAAGGGAGGGAAGGAGGGAGGGAGGGAAGGAGGGAGGGAGGGTCACCTTCGCACCCTGTGAGCAGCGAGTCCGTGTCTTCTCGGCCGGGGCCTGACAGGCGTGTGTCTCGTTCCAGTGCATCCACCGGGACTTGGCGGCCAGAAACGTGCTGGTCACGGAGAACAACGTGATGAAGATCGCCGACTTCGGGCTGGCCAGAGACATCAACAACATCGACTACTACAAGAAGACCACCAACGTGAGTCCGGCAGCGCCCGGGGCGTGGCACGGAATGTTCCAGAAGGAACGGTGGGCGGCTCAGAGCGAGAGGCCCGGACGAGGCTCCTTCCTCCGCCCCCCATGCCTGGCTGTGCCTGGCTCCTCACACGTGGCCACAGTGACATGTCAGAGGGTCCGTGTGCCAGGGCTCAGCAGTCAGCGTGTGCGGAGCAGTCAGCGCTTCGGGGCCTCCTGGGCTCCGTCCACTCCTTTCCTGGGGCCGCCAGGGCTCGGAGCCTCCGGTCAGCTTCCCTCCGGGAGCTGGTCAGGGAGACGGCAGCCCCGAGGGCCCAGCAAATGACATTTCCGAATCTGCATCCTCTTGTTGCGTGTGGTCCTTGTTGCGTGTGGTCCCCATTGCGTGTAGCTCTTCTTGCGTGTAGTCCCTGTTGTGTGTGGTCCCCGTTGTGTGTGGTCCCTGTTGTGTGTAGCTCTTCTTGCGTGTAGTCCCCATTGCGTGTGGTCCCATTGCGTGTAGTCCCCGTTGCGTGTGGTCCCCGTTGCGTGTGGTCCCCGTTGCGTGTGGTCCCCGTTGCGTGTGGTCCCGTTGCGTGTAGTCCCCGTTGCTTGTGGTCCCCGTTGCATGTAGTCCCCGTTGCGTGTGGTCCCCGTTGCGTGTGGTCCCCGTTGCGTGTGGTCCCCGTTGCGTGTGGTCCCCGTTGCGTGTGGTCCCTGTTGCGTGTGGTCCCCGTTGCGTGTGGTCCCGTTGCGTGTAGTCCCCGTTGCGTGTGGTCCCCGTTGCATGTAGTCCCCGTTGCGTGTGGTCCCCGTTGCGTGTAGTCCCCGTTGTGTGTGGTCCTCATTGCGTGTGGTCCCGTTGCGTGTGGTCCCGTTGCATGTGGTCCCCGTTGCGTGTAGTCCCCGTTGCGTGTGGTCCCCGTTGCGTGTGGTCCCGTTGCGTGTGGTCCCCGTTGCGTGTGGTCCCCGTTGCGTGTGGTCCCCGTTGCGTGTAGTTCCCGTTGTGTGTGGTCCCGTTGCGTGTAGTCCCCGTTGCGTGTGGTCCCGTTGCGTGTGGTCCCCGTTGCGTGTGGTCCCGTTGCATGTGGTCCCCGTTGCGTGTAGTCCCCGTTGCGTGTGGTCCCCGTTGCGTGTAGTTCCCGTTGTGTGTGGTCCCGTTGCGTGTAGTCCCCGTTGCGTGTGGTCCCGTTGCGTGTGGTCCCCGTTGCGTGTGGTCCCCGTTGCGTGTGGTCCCTGTTGCGTGTAGTCCCCGTTGCGTGTGGTCCCCGTTGCGTGTGGTCCCCGTTGCGTGTGGTCCCGTTGCATGTAGTCCCCGTTGCGTGTAGGCCTGTAGGAGCTGGTTTCTGCCCCACCGCGCGGCCCGTGGAGATGGGTGGTGCCAGCTTTTAAACGGGCCCAGCCCGGCGAGCCTGCTGCTCCGGTAAACGGGTTCCAACGTGTGGCGTCTTCCTCCCTCCCCCGCACAGGGCCGGCTTCCCGTCAAGTGGATGGCTCCGGAGGCCCTTTTCGACCGCGTGTACACCCATCAGAGTGACGTGTGAGTGGCGCCTTCCCCGCTGCTCCCATGGTCAGTTGCAAACCCAGCGTACGCGTCGCACCTTCCCTGGTGCCTGCTGCGTGTCACGTGTGCGTGGCAGTTGCCAGAGCTGGCCGCACACCGCAGGCCAGTGAGCAATGGCTGCTGCTGATCGGCCCCCTCCTCCTTCAGAGCAGAAACCGCTCCCCCTCCACCCCCCGACTTTATTCACAACGGGCAGCTCAGAGCCGCTGCCTCACTGGCCAGGCTGCCGCTGGTCCGGCTCCCTCGCCCTCGCCAAGGTGTGAATTGGGAGACGTCGGGATCCTGCTGTGTGATCCGCCCCCACACAAAGGCAGGCCCCTTTGTGGCCTGTGCTGCTCCACGGCCGCCCGCCCGGCCCTGAGCCTGGGAGGCAGCTCACTGCTGGTGCCGTGCCCGCCTGGAGCCGCAGCCCCAGTCGGTCAGGTGGCGTCAGGTGGCGGCAGAGGGGTGGGCGGGCTCAGGAGCGAGGTCTTTGTGTGCAAACACTGCCCTGAAGGTGAATAAGGCCCAGAGCGACCAGGGAAGTCCCCGCAGTCCCCGTCCCCCCCAGAGAGAAGGGACGCTCGGCGTCCCCCATCTGCCGTCTGCGGGGACCCATCCTCGCCTGGAGCCGCTCGGGGGCCGAGGGCGCGTGGGGGTTGCCGGAGGCACGGGCGTTGGTCTGGATGGAACCGTCGCCTGGCGCTGGTGCCGGCAACTGGGCCGGCGGCAGTGACCTCGCTCTCTCCGTGCCGGCAGCTGGTCCTTTGGGGTGCTGATGTGGGAGATCTTCACCCTCGGGGGCTCGCCCTACCCCGGGATCCCCGTCGAGGAGCTGTTCAAGCTGCTGAAGGAGGGGCACAGGATGGACAAGCCGGCCAACTGCACCAACGGGCTGTAAGAGGGCGTCTGTGCCGGCTCCCCCCCGTCCCGGCTCTCCCCCCCCCCCCCCCCCGTCCCGGCTCCCCCCGTCCCGTCTCCCCCTCTGCCCCGGCTCCCTCCGTCCCGTCTCCCCCCTGCGCCCCGGCTCCCCCCTCTGCCCCGGCTCCCCCCCGCCCCGCCCTGGCTCCCCCCGTCCTGGCTCCCCCCGTCCTGGCTCCCCCTGTCCCGGCTCCCCCCGTCCCATCTCCCCCCCACCACGGCTCCCGTCCCGGCTCCCTCCGTCCCAGCTCCCCTCCGCCCCGGCTCCCCCCTCTGTCCTGGCTCCCCGTCCAAACGGGCTCCCCCTCCGCCCCGGCTCCCCGCTCCGCCCCGGCTCCCCTCAGAGGGAGACAGATGCCACCGTCTGTGAGACTGGCCGAGGCCGTGTGCCCGGCCGTGTGCCCGCGGGCTCACCCGCCGCCGTCCCCGCAGGTACATGTTGATGAGGGACTGCTGGCACGCGGCGCCCTCCCAGCGGCCGACCTTCAAGCAGCTGGTGGAGGACCTGGACCGGGTGCTCACGCTCACCACCAACGAGGTGAGGGCGCCTCGCAGCCGGCTCCTGGCCTGGCGCTCCGCGTGGTATACGCGCCTGCCCTGTGGGAGTCCACAGTGCTGTCCCCCCTCAGGCCACGGGGTCAGGCCAGGGGTCAGCAGGTTGACCTGTGGGCCCCCAGGTCCTGTTTTTCTCAGAGCTGCCTGGTGAGCATCTGACTCAGCAGCCAGAGCCTGCGGGCCCTGTGCAGGCCGCCCCACCGTGGACTCTGGTGCTGGGCCTGTGTGCCTGCGCGCACACGTGTATGTGTGCGTGTGTGCGTGTGTGTGTGTGTGTGTGTGTGTAGGTGTGCAGGGAGGCAGGGAGAAATGTCCAGCTGTGGTGTTAGCTGGGTTTGGTGGGAGGGAGCTGGATTCTGGTAACCGGGGTGTGAGCTGCTGATGCTCAGGTCCTGCTGGCGTGATGTGTGGAGGCCCCGCCTCTCCCGCTTCCAGTCTCTCCCCGACCCTGCCTGGCAGGGCGTGTGGCCCGTGGCCTCCATCCGTGTGCATGTGCATGTCCACACAGTGTCTTACAGTGAGCGGCTAGTAGGATGGTTAAGGAAGATATTTATCTTCTAGAAAACGTGTAGAACTGGTGCCCACAGTCCCTCAGTGTCCGAACTGAGAAAGAAAAGAATACACTTAAATTGTTGAATGACGAGCTTCCCAGTGATTAAAAAACAAACAGGCAGCTTATCGGCGAGTCAGGCTGGCTGAGAGTGGGAGCCGCCGGAGCAGAGAGGACAGGCGGCGTCCTGGGGACCGCCTTCTTCGCCCCGAACGCCGTCTCCAGTGCCCGCGCCTTAACTGGCCGTGCGGCCGGGGCCGCCTCCCCGCCGGCCCGGGCGCTGCGGCTCCACTGGGAGGCTCGGCTCCGCGAGGGGCGGCCACTCCGGCCGTGGTTCTGCTTACGTGTCACGTGGGCTGTGCGAGCGAGGCCACCCCAGCCCCGAGTGCAGCCCCGGAACGCCACGCCGTCCTGCGGCTACAGAACCCGTGTCTCTTCCCGGCCGAAAATCGTTGCCAGCTGCGCCGGGAAAGCGGCTCCATGCAGGCCCGAGTTTCATTTCGTCGTCGTCAGCAGAGCGCGGGCTTGATGTGGCGGGCGGTTCCGAGAGGCTGCTGGCGGCCGCAGCCCATCCAGGCCCTCGCTCTCGCCAGCCCTGCGGTGGGTGGGTTTTCAATGCTCAGCCGCCAGCATTCCGTGGGCTCCGTTCTGACAGCCGATGAGGCTGCTCGTGCTGTGTCTGCACTTCCCGCCGCCGCTCAGCACGGGGGGGGGGGGGGGGGGGGGGGGCGAGGGCCCTGGCTCCGGTGGTGGAAGCAGGCACTGCGATGGGAGAGGCCCGGGGCTCCCTGTCTAGGAGTCTATCCCTAGTTTCGGGGCAGAGAGGGGAGGGGACAAGCCTTTTCCGAAGTGCCAGGCAGTAAGGATGCCACGTGGGGCCACGTGGTCTCTGTCGCTACAGCCCCGCTCTGCCTGGGACCCGGGAGGCGACGGCCGCAGATGCTGCGTCAACCAACACGCGTGTCCATGCTCTAGGGAAACTGGATGGAGCCTCGCATTTTATATAATTTTAGATGCCACGAGACACTTTTAAAGACCTTTTTCTGGTTCATCTTTACCCGAGGATATTTTTCCATGGATTATTAGAGTGGGAGGGAGCAGGAGAGGCAGAGAGACATCGAGGTGAGAGTACACATCCATTGGTTGCCTCCTGCAGGCACGCTGCCAGGGCCCACGCTGGGGAGAAGTCTGCAGCCAGCACACGTGTCCTTGACCAGAATCAAACCCAGGACCCTTCAGCCCCGCAGCTCAAGCTCTCTCCGCTGAGCCAAATGGGTCAGGACGCCATGAGCTTTTTGCTTACTTTTCCCCTGACCATATAAACAACGGTGAAATCACTGTCAGGCCCCGGGCCGCGCGTGAATGGCGTCTGCGAGTTTGGGTCCGAGGGAAGACATGTCCCCCTCAATTAACCTAGAAACAGCGGAGCAAACAGAATTAGTAAAGTGGAAATGCATGGCCTAGACCGCGTAGAGGGACCCACATCTGTGCCTGGTCACTGCGCTGGGTCGAATTCTTTATGTCCAAGAGGAAGGGAGAGGGAGAGAGAGAGACATCAGTGACGAGAGAGCCTCCTGGACCCGCTGCCTCCTGCACGCCCCGCACTGGGAATCCAGCCCACAACCCGGGTCCGTGCCGGATCGGGAATGGAACCCTGACCTCCTGGTTCATGGGTCGATGCTCAGCCCCTGAGCCCCTCTGGCTGGGCTGGGCTAGAATTTGAGCCCTGTGTGCCCGAGAGGGGACAGAGGAGGGTGAGCCAGTCCTTGGGCCAAGCGCCTCCAGCCCAGCGAGGCTCCCGCCCCCCACGGTCGGTCGTGTACTTGTAACTGTGTACAGGGAGCCCAGAGGAATTGGGGCTGTGGCCCAGGAGGTCACTGTGCAGCCAAGGGGGTGGCTGGCGGCTGGGTCTCACCCTTCAGGGCTGCCCTATCCCGTCCCAGCTCCCAGGCCCGCGTCCCGAGAGCCTGTGTTTGGAATAAAACGCCTGTCCCTTCTCTGAGGAAGCCGGGGCCTCAGCAGCCCTCGAGCAGTACTCACCGAGCTCCCGACCCGAGAGGAGAGAAGATGTCTCTTGTCCCAGCCGGTGTGGCTCAGTGGACAGAGCATTGGCCTGTGGACTAAAAGGTCCTGGGTTCGATTCCCGGTCAGGACACAGGCCTGGGCTGCAGGCTGGATCCCCAGTGGGGGGCGTGCAGGAGGCAGCCGATCCATGATTCTCATCACGGATGTTCCTCTCTCTCGCTAACCCTCCCTCTCTGCCATCGATAAAAACACATTTAAAAAACCAACCACAGTAACCAAAGACCTCTCTCCTCTCAGGAGTACCTGGACCTCAGCCAGCCCCTCGAGCAGTACTCGCCCAGCTACCCCGACACACGCAGCTCCTGCTCGTCCGGGGACGACTCCGTCTTCTCCCCGGACCCCCTGCCCTTCGAGCCGTGCCTCCCGCCGTTCCCGCACGTCAACGGCAGCGTGAACACCTGAGCGGGCGCGCCCGTCCCGAGGGCGGAGCCGCTGACGGGCAGGCTGCCTCCGAGCCGCGTGGCCGCTGTACATATGGACCCGAGGGGTCGTTGGGGAGTCCTCCGGGCGTGGCGGGACCGTCCGGAACCTGCGACGTTGCGGGGGGAAGAGGGGCGTTTCCGGGGCAACGGACCGCCCCCGCCCCCACCGGCGGCTGTGGACCAGTGGGCTCAGGGGACGCTCTGGCCTCGCGATGCTGGAGGAAGGACAGTGGGAGGCAGCGCGGACAGGCACGGAGGGCGCAGGTGCTGGGTGTGTGTACAGAGACCAAATTATGTATAAATATATATTATATATTTACGAGGAACTATTTTTTGTATTGATTTTAAATGGAAGTCGCAGTGCACCTAGGAAATGGGCTCTTTTTTTTTTAATGGCTCTTTGCTAAATGCTGTTCTTACCCAGAGTTTCCTAATCGCCACCCAGCCGCGGTGGGAGGTACTTTTGCTTTCAGGGAAAATGGTATAAAACATTAATTTATTAATGGATTGGTAATATACAAAACAATTAATCATTTATAGTTTTTGTTTTTAATTTAAGTGGCATTTCCATGCGGGCGAGGGAGCCGGCTGCCCGGACGGCGCTGGGTCCCGTGGTTAGGGGGTGCCCTGGTGACAGCTGACGGACGGGGGAGGCGAGGCTCGGGGTCTGAGCTCTGTGGTCAGGACGTCCCACCCCGGGGCCGCTCGCTGCCCCCGCCAGGCCGTGGGACCAGCTTCTCCCCGAGGCCCCGCCCCCTGCGCCCTCAGACCGGCCAGGTTCGTGGGCAGGAGAGCAGCTCTCAGGGCACGGAGACGCCGTGCATCTGCTGATAGTGGGTCCCTCCCGGCCCCCTAAGGGGTGGCTCCCGCCGGCGCCTGGCGGGTGGGCCTCGCCGGCGGGGCCGGCCCGGTGCCGGCGGGCGGCAGAGGGCATTTCCCCGCCCAGGGCCCCGGGGTAAGGATTGTGTTTGCTCACGCCGCGGCCGCCACGCACCACGAATGCGGAATACACTGATTGTACGTGCTAGGACATGGGAGAAAGTATTTAATGAAACTGTTAATTTTTATACTGACAATAAAAATGTTCTACGGATATTAATGTTAACAAGACAAATAAACGTCACGCAGCTTATTTTCTTAGCACTGTGTCTCGCCCGGTGGTTTCGGGGCCCGTGGGAGTGGCCGGTGCGGGTCGCTGGGGCGGCAGGAGGCGGCGTGGGGTCTGGGTTGGTTACAAACAGGGACCTGTAGGCGGGGTGGGGGGGCGGGTCTGGTGCTCCAGGACACGGGGCCCCGAGAACCGGCCGGGCTGTGCACGCGTGTGGCGTGTGCCAGGGACGGTGCTGAGTGGCTGCAACAGAGACCGCCTGGCCCACGACGGCTGAGAACGTCACACCTGATTGCCTTCACCAGCACGCGGGGTCAGGCCCTGTGCTGGGGGGATCGGGCCCCGGCGGGTGGGGTGGGGCCAGGCACAGACACAGGCCTGAAGGGGGAGGGGGTGCCGTCAGCAGGGTGCCCGCCCGGCACTGAAGGGGTGCCCGGCCCCGGGTGTGGATGCTCTGAGATGCTCGGGTTGACGTGTCTGCACAGGCCCTCCTGGCGCCCGTCTCCCCTCGGGACGCCGTGCTGCGACATGCCTGGCGCTTCCAGACCAGGTTGCCACGGAGATCGGCCAGCCTGGCTCCACAAACACGGCTCTCCATGGGAGGGCGAGGCGGGGTCGGAGCCGATGACGCTGGTTTGGCAGGAAGTACACCGCGGGCGCCTCGCACTGCCACCCCCTGCGCCTGGCCGGTGGGCACCTGGGGTCAGGGCGGGTGGGGCCACCCCCTGCGCCTGGCCGGTGGGCACCTGGGGTCAGGGCGGGTGGGGCCACCCCCTGCGCCTGGCCGGCGGGCACCCGGGGTCAGGGCGGGTGGGCCCCCCAAGCTGGGGGCCGGTGGGCAGGCGCCCGGCTCAGGGCAGAGGGCTGAGTTTCATTTCCCATTGCTCCGGGTCTTGCACACGGGGAGGTGCTGGAGGGACGAGGTGGGCGGTCCTGGGACAGGTCATGAGGGAGCTGCCGTCTGACTGGACACGGGGCTCAGGGAGACGGAGTTAAGTCCTGACTGCAGCAGCCCCGGCCGGTGGCTCCACGGATAGAGCGTCGTCGGCCTGCGGACCCAAGGGTCCCGGGTTCGATTCCGTCCAGGGCACGTACTTCGGTTGCAGGCTCCTCACCGGCCTGGGCCCTGGTTGGGACGCCGGCAGGAGGCAGCCTGTCCGTGTGTCTCTGCCTCTCCCTCCCTCCGCTCTCTAACGCCCTCGGAAACGTCCTGGAGGAGTAACGACGACTGCGGTGGGGTCGTCGGGAGGTCGGCTGCAGGGACAGGTCAGCACGCAGGCCCGCCCCTCCCGCCACAGACGGAGGAAGTGCGTGTGCGGCGACCGCAGGGGTGGCGCCCGGAACACGCTGGGCCTGGCTTCAGCCTCTCCCTCGTCTCCCTCGTCTCCCTCGTCTCCCCGGTGGGGTTCCGGGCCCATCCGCCACGAAGCCCTTACTTTCCCACCTGAAAGCAGGTGAGCCGTCAGTGCGGGGGGCGGCAGAGGAGGGAGGCGGACGTGGGAACCCAGCGCAGCGGCGCCGGCCGTGTGGGCAGGCTGCTGGGCGTCCCAGAGCAGCAAGGACGTGAGACGCCGCCTGGACTGCGGCCTCCTGTGGCCTGGGCTCTCCCGAGAGCAGGTGCGCATAGCGACGCCGACCGCTCCCGCCCAAGTTGCACGCGGGGGCGGGGCGAGGCTCTGGCCGGCCTGGCGGGCGTGGGAAGGGCCGGACGCCTGGCGGCGTCTGCGTAGGAAGCCTCGCCGCCGTGGCTGCACCGGAGCGTGCGCGCCCCCACGGCCCCACGGCCCCACGGCCCCACCCCTCCCGCCGCCCGCCCCGGCCTGTGCCCACGGCATGGAACCCTGACGCTGGTTCCCAGGTCAGTGCCCGTGTCAGCCCCGCCGGTGTGTGGGGGAGCGGTGGGCAGGCTCCTCTCAGCAGGCCGCCTGCTGTGGGCCGGGCCGCGCCCGGTGCCGGCTGACCCGGAACTGCCTCCCGACGGCCTGGCTCCGGCGGACCGGCAGGGAGCACCGCCACCGCGCTCGGAGGCTCACGGCACGTCCTGGCGGCCCTCGTCCTGGTCGTGTGTCCACCTCGCTGCCCGACAGGGTCCCAGGACTGGGTCTCCGTGACCACCCCGGGGGCTGGCCTCTCCCCCCCTCCCCCTGGGTCTCCCAGGCCCCGGGCCGCTGAGGGGCCCCCGGCTGCCTCCCCGTGAGCGCACAGCCCCTCCGGTGAGGCCAGGGCTCCGGCGTGGCCGGCGGCCGCCCCATGGACTCCAGGAGCCGTTCGCCAACCAGCCCACCAGCTGGGAAGCGGGGGAGGAGGGAACCGGGCACAGGTGTGTGGGTCCCGAGTGCCGAGCGGGAACAGACCGCCCGCCCAGGCCACGGAGCAGCAGCCTCTGCCCCAACCAGAGCCTGGCTGAGCCACCAGCACCGGTCACATCCCGGCCGGCCGGCCAGTCGCCCACGGGGGCCACAGCACTGCCAGCTCCCCTTCCCGCCTCGGCTGCAGACAAACTCGCCCTTCTCGCCTTCCTCCTCCTCCTCCTCCTCCTCCTCCTCCTCCTCCTCCTCCTCCTCCTCCTCCTCGCAGGGACGGGAGAAGCAGTCTCCAGGTGAGGCGTCCGGTGGGTTCTGAGGGTGGGGTGTGGGGGGGTGGGTCCTGAGGTTCTGAGTGGGTGTGGGGGGCCGAGTGGCTGAGAAGGTCTTTCAGAAGCTGCCCTGGGGTCGGGTGGGACGCTGGGCGGAGCTGGAGGAGGAGGAGGAAGAGGAGGAGGAGGAGGAGGAGGCAGAGGCGGAGGCGGAGGGAACCCTGGGGTGGTGGGAGGAGACCTGGTCATGGCCACGGGGCCTCATGGCCTGGAGGGGCCTTCCCTGGGGGGGACCAGCCTCCATTTCCCAGGCGTCTCCTGCTCCTCCTCGCCCTGTGACCTGACCTCGCCCTGTGACCCCCCTTCATTGCACCCAGCGGGCACTCGCTCCTCCCGTGGGGAGAGGCTGCGTCCGGGCGCCCGGCCGGCAGCCCTGAGCGTGGGACTTCGGGGAAGGGGGGACGGATGTGGTTCAGTGAGGGCTGAGGAGGCCGCGGACAATTCTCCGCGACTCGGTGTGACCTGAGGCTGTCATTGTCCGGCTCGAGGCGCCCACCCCTGAAAACATTGGAAGTTCACTCGGCATCACTTACCCACGTTCTTCTCGTCGAGATCTAGTCGATTTAAAAATACGTCTTTATTGATGTCAGGGAGGAAGGGAGGGGAGAGAGAAACATCCACGATGCAACGGGGACCCTTCGGTCCGCAGGCGGACGCTCTATCCACCGAGCCACACCGGCCAGGGCTCTGGTTGGTGTTTTAGGTGCGACCAGGTGGCCTACAGAAAAGGCAGCTCTAACTCACGCCACCTGGGCGTCCACCGCTCCATCCACGCCTTCGACCCAGGATGGCCTGACCCTCCCCCCTCCGGGATCCGGTTAGCGCTCCCCACCCACGTCCCGATGGAAATAGCCCGACACACCCGGCCAGTGCGGCTCAGGGGTGAGCGCTGACCTGTGGACCAGGAGGTCAGGGTTCGATTCCCGGTCAGGGCACAGGCCTAGCTTGTGGGCTCGATCCCCAGTGTGGGGCGCAGGAGGCAGCCGGTCCATGGTTTTCTCTCCTCATGGATGTTTCTATTCACCTTTTCTCTTTGAAATCAATCAAAATATATTAAAAACAAACAAAAAAAAAGCCAGGTGACCAGACGGAAGCCACAGCAAGTGAGGAGCCAGAGCTGGTGCTGCTGCCACGCCATCGCCAATCAACGGGCTGTTTCCCTAAATGGTAAAGGCTTCCAGCTGGGAGATGGCTCTCACCTGGGCGGGCAGGCCCTCCCTCACCATCCTCCTCTGGG